CAACATCATTAGTCATTGTGAAAATGCAAATTAAAACCCACAATGAGATACTGTGCCACTTCACACTTATGGGTTGTCTAGGATTTAATGAAAGAAAAAGAAAAAGAACAAAAATTAGTAAGGATATGAGGATGTGCACAAATCAGAACCTATGTACGTGGGTAGGAAAAGCATAGCAACTTGAAAAACAATTTGGAGCCAGAAGTCTACTGAAGGAAAAAGTACGTAGGAATATTGTAGGTGTCGGCAGCGTTTATGAACAAAAAACCAAACTGCAAGGGAAGTACTTCAAAGAATCAACGACTAAGATCTCATCTTATTAAAAAGTTTTTGCACATCAAAAGAAATCACCAACAGAGTGAAAAGATAACCCATAGAGTGGGAAAAAATTTTAGTCAACTGTCTCTCAAAGGACTTCTATCTAGAATGTATAAACAACTGAAAAAAATCAGGGGCCCCTCAATTCAAAGACTCAATCCAAAAAGGGGCATCTGACATGAATACACATTTCTCAGATGAAGAAATATGAAAAGCAAATAAACATGAAAAAATGTTCAATGATATTGGTCATTAGATTGTATTACATGTGAAAGTATAAACAAATTTCCTGTGGAAAATGAGATAATATAGTAGCCATTATTTGTTTTCTGTTATTTGGTTCTGAAAGCCCCGTAATACTCTCATTCTCTTGAATGTTTTTATACTATTTTGTTCTGTTTGATAGTATTGTATATGAAGTTATACTCAACTATTTCAAAGAAAGAGACATCGTGGTAGTTACTGTTAATTATGGGTTGTCTTCTGGTGAAATACTGCATTGCTTACATTGCTCTGTTCTGATCTGCTCTCTTACGTCCTGTTTTGTCTTAATCTCTTTAAAAAAAAAAAAGATATTGGTCATTAGAGAAATGCAAATTAAAACACTATGATTCCCGAAAGAATGGTTATCATTAAGAAATCAACCTGTAATAAACACTAGTGGGGCTGCACAGGGAAAAAGGAACCTTGCTTCACTATCAGTCGGAGTGTAGACTGTGCAATCACTGTGGAAATCAGTGTGTAGATTTCTCAAAAAACTAGGATTGGAGGTCCCATTACTCAAATGCCCATCAACTGAGGAATGGATAAAAAAGATGTGGTGTTTTATACAATTGAGTACTCCTCAGCTATAAAGAAGGATAAACTTGAGGCTTTTATAGGCAAATGGCGGCAACTAGAGACCATACCCAGAAGTGAAATAAATTAGTCCTGCGTGTGTAAACATTGTATTGTCTCTCTACGGTAAGAAACTCAAAGAGTTAGTAATACCCAAAATGTGCAATAGCTATTGTGAAAGGGAAAGAAACTGCTCAAAAGGAAAGAACAATTGGGATGAGGAAAGGAGGAAAGAAGGGCAGGAATACACAAATGTGTACACACACACACACACACACACACAGACACACACACGATAGCTAAGATAATTATACTACTAATTTCTTTTAGTGCATTGTAAAGAACGGTTTGTGCTTATACTATTTGATCAATTTGCAGGCCCATGTCTTATAATCTGAGCAATTACTCTGAAGGTAACAATACGCAATATATAAACCTTTGTTAATTTCCTATTATCTTGTTTTGAAATTCTGTATCATTGGTTTTTTTCTCTTTAAAATAAAATTTAAAAAAAAAGAAAAGCAATTTGGCAGTTTCTCAAAAAGTCAAAAATTACTATATGACCCAGCTTCCAATATATATAAAACTGTAACTTTATACTCCCCCCTTGTCTAGTTTCATTTTCTAGGTTTCATCCACCTATAGATACCTGAAACAGCCTGAAATTATTAAACAGAAAATTCTAACAATAAATAGGTCATAAATTTAAACTGTGTGCCATTCGCTTCTGAGTACGATAATAAAATCTAAGGCCACCTGCCATCACTCCTGAGCCATCAACTGGGCTTTGTTCAGTGTAGCTACACTACACACAGCTTACGTACTACCCGCCTTATCGCAATCTTGAAGTGTTTGCATTTAACTAACACTTATTTTACTCAACAGACAATCTCGAAGTGCAGGACTGATGGTGTCAATTTGGATAAACCAAAGAGAAGTCTTTTTTTTTTTTTTAATTTTTTTTTTTTTGGTCTTTTTCGTTTTTATTGGTACCAGGGATTGAACTCACGACTGCCTGCTTGCAAGGCAGGCGCTTATGCCGCTGAGCTAAATCCCCAACCCCACCAAAGAGAAGTCTTAAAAGTGTTTGCTTAAGTGAAAAGATGAAGGTTTTCCACTTTATGAGAAAAAATTGAGAGGCTAAAATTGCTGAGATACACAGTAAAAATGAATCTTCTATCTGTGAAATTATGAAGAAGGAAAAAGAAATTTTTGCTAATTCTATTATCGTACCTCAAACTGCAAAAGTTACCAGCAGTGTGTAAGTACTTAGTTAAGACAGAGAAGGCAATGACCTTGTGTGTGTATAGAAAAGTCATAGCACACAGAGGGCTGGGTACTGTCCCCGGTGTTAGGAAGTATCCTCCTGTGGGTATACAGGGACTACTGTGCATCAGGGTTCACAGCTGCACTGCCTATAGCCCCAAAGTGAAAACAACCCAAATGTCCAATAGTTGACACACAGATAAACACAAAGTGGTACAGAAGTCCCTCTTACCCATTGGGGGATATGTTTCAAGACCTCTAGTAGATGTATAAAACTGCAGATAGGACCGAGTGATATATACTATGTTTTTTCCCATATATACAGACTCACAATAAAGTTTAATCTACAAATTAGGCTGAGTAAGAGATTAACCACAACTAATACTAAGATAGAACAATTATAAAATATACTATAATAACAATAAAACTTTAAAAGGCTGAGGATGCAGCTCAGTATAAAGGATCTGTGTTCAATCCCCAGTGCTTTAAAAATAAATAAATAAGAATTATTCTTTCAAAGGGCTGCTCATCAGGTTTCATCCTTAAGTGGACAAAGTTTTTTAAAACACTAATCAGTGAAGTTTATCTGCAAGACTTATGGCACAGCACCTGCCTGGCAAGGATGAGGTCCTGAATTTGATTCCCAGTACTAAAAAGAAAAAGAAAAAAAAAAAAGGAAAATAGTTTGCAGTGCTGGGGATTTAGCTCAGTGGCACAGTGCCTGCTTGGCAAATGCAAGGTCCCGAGTTCAAATTTCAGTATTCCTCCCCACAAAAAAAACTTGCAACCAGGCATGGTAGTGCATATCTAATTTTAGCACTCAGGAGGCAGAGGCAGAAGGACTGCTGCAAGTTCGAGGCCAGCATGGGCTACACAGTGAGTCCAACTCCAGCCTAAACTACAGAGTAAGGCCCTGTATCAAAACAAAACAGAATAACTTGCAACACTAAAGTGTTGTTTACCACATATGCTACCAGTATAAACTAAATAAAATCCAAAGCACATAACACATCCAGTTGTAATATCACTGTTTTCCCACATGGCCTCTACTAGCTTGGTGACCTGAGCTAGCACTATCACCAAATCCCAAATCTCTAGACTGTATTTTGTGCTCCAAGAAACGTTCAGCTGTCTTACTCTGCAATCACTTCTAGAAAGCTATACTTTAAATATGTCTGAGCCTTTATAACCGTCACCTGTATTTCCGTTCTTGTAAGACAAGACAGAGAGGGGAGTCTTTCCTATCCTCATCACATAAAGAAAAAAATTATTAAATGTAAATTATCTGAAAATCTATCCATAGAAAACTGTTCCTAGTATTTTAATGTATAACCTTCTAGAATTGTCCTAAATATATTCACATAAATCTTTTCTTATAAAAGAGATCCCAGAGTCTATGAACTGTTTCATGACCTGTTCATTTCCTTTAACTATTTTCTCATGCTAACAAATGTACATTTGCCAGCATTTTTGCAACAGCCTAATAGCCAACTGCATGGCTGCACCCTTTATTTTTCTTAACCTCGTCCCACTGGATTTTTGGATTTTCAGTATCTTGCTACAAATCCTGGCATGACTACCTTTGTTCATATATTCTTTTTGCCACTTCCTTGGAATAATTCTCAGAAGTGGAACTGCTAGCTGCTTTTAAAGGCTAACTGCCTTTTATTTTGCATCCCTAGCCATTTTTTAAAAGTTTATTTTGAGAGTCTCACTAAACTGCCCATGCTGGCCTTGAACTTGAGACTTCCTCCCTCAGCCTAGCTGGGATTACAGGTGTGTGCTGAGATGCCCTTTCTTTATTTCAGTGCTAGTTAAGTATTTCGAAAAGTTTATTTTGTGCTTATTTTTCTAAGGCATCACAAATTACACATCCAAACTCCTGGATGGCAGGCCAAGCCATCTAAAGGAGAAGCCTTTAAAGAAATACTGTTGGACATTCTGAGAAAGCATATTTAATGGATTCACAAACCTAAAAAAGGGTGAAGACATTATAGAAGATGCCCACTATACAATGGCTGGATGGTTCTTTGAGTATCAAAGGCTCCTCATGAGATCTGGGACTTATTCTGTCACCAGCAGTCCATGACTGCTCCTACCCAAAGGGAGGGCAGAGGTGCTCTAGGACACAGTCCATCCCAGGAAGGTATCTATTATCATCCTCAGGACCCGACCATGCAAGCCTGGATCTTATACCCCAAGATACCACCCCATCCTTTAATTAGTCTTAAGCTGTGAACTAACAGCTCAAAGACAGTGTAAGCCAGCTGTCAGCTGTCCCTAATCCATCTTCACCCATTTTGAAGAAAATGGAATTCCAAACACCCACAGGCCATTTTTTCTGAACAAACTGTATTGTGATGGAGGAAAACCTCTCTATCGCTAGTCAGTTTATTTAAGGCAATTTGCCAATGAATGTGCTTCTGCTCAAAACCCAGGGTGATGTTCCTTTGTCTTCTAGCCTCAAGGTCAAACTCCAAAGCACCTCTCTTCAAAGCTGAAGTCTATACTGGTTTGCTGCCTCTAGTCTAGCAGTGGTGGAGGTGCAGGCAAAGGTGAGAACCCCAAGAGGAACTTACATAGAAGTGAAAATGCAAGAAGTGGGCCAGCACTCTAGGGGCCACGCCAGGGAAGGAAGTCAGGAGGGTCTGAAGGTACACTTCTAGGTCTTTCTCTCTCTTTTCCACCAAGCTTCTGGAGTTCTTCCCAATTATCTTTTTGGGTGGAAGTAGATTTTTATCAATCTTTTTCTCTGCAACAAGCTGTGAGAAAACATGAGCATTATCAATCACAGATTAAGAAGCTCCGTGCTTGGGCAAATCAAAGTGAGAAAGCAGGCACTTGTTACAAATTCCATAGCAGAAATCCAGGAGTATTGGTGACCCAGCTAGGGCACCTGGGATAGGCTTCTTCAAATCCAATTAGTTTTACAAATACCAATGCAATACCAGATGAGGAATTTCATCTGGAGACTTTGGAGAGAAAAGCAAAACTTTGAGCTCTAAAAAACAACCATCCTTCCAAACCAAAATGAAAACCAATGAAGGCTGCAAGAGCGTTTTAAAAACATTTTCACTGCCAATGACCTAGAGAAAGGCTGCTCTCTCCAAAAGCAAAGAAAGAAATGGAGTCACACCCAGATACTAAAGAACAGGTTCTAGACACCTATATTAGGTAAAAAAAGTTCAAACCTGTCCCAGACTGGGAAACTGTCTAATATGGGACTGGCAATCAGAATTCAAAACTCAAATGTGAAAATCAAAATTCAAGCATGTTCCTCGGAGAACCCCCTGAACTAGTGTTAAACTCCTAGTATCTACCAGTTTTTTCCCAATTATATTGATACACTGGTTTATTACAGTAAACTACACCCATGAAATTGCTTTTGCCCTTAAACTTGGCCTTCACACTCCCAAGCCCTAAGCCACAAATCCTAAGAGTTACCTTTTCATGCAGGTCATGGAAGTCACTGTAACGGTGCTTGACTGTCCACTCATGGTTGCCATCAGTGACCCGGATGATGTAAACCTAAAAGGAGAAAATGATGTTCTTTATGGAAAAAGGAGACAGCCAGCAAGCAGAAGTCCCCTGTCTCCATCAAAATGGCTGCTCTGGATCAGATGAAATAATAGAATTTAGGCCATCCAGGAGAATGCATGTGAACTCATGTCCCAGCTTAAGTGTTCTGGGCAACGGTCTGCCTTGAGAGTCTAAACCTAAGACCCTATGGAAAGAACTGACTTCTGGGTGAGACCAGAAGGAGCTGTCTCCTCAAGCACAATATTTAAGGGGACTAAAACATTTAGTTTAATGGAGAATCCTCAACATCCTGGCTCACTCTCCCTTCCTAGGTGTGGCTCTCATCATTTATGTGTGTAAGGGAAGGAAACACTTTTGCTAATAAATGGTGCTTGCTGAACAATGAGTGTTAAGTTTTAACCTGTGAGCTTCAATAGTGTGTTGCGGAGACAGAAATTTTTGCGTGGAATCTGAGTAACACTTAGTCTGCTCCTAAGGAATATTCCCAAGGTGATTACATAGACAACACATGTCTTATGGACTTCTTTGCCCTAGGTCCCAGGGCAGGATTTCTCCAAGCCATTATTTGACTCTATCTCTAGAAGGATCTCTTTTGTAGGCCGGGAAGTACTCCAACCACTTCCAGTTTACCCTCTGATATTTTCCTCACTCTCTTTCAAAAACTGGAAAGATCTCTTGATTATTGGTTTAATTTTGCTAGCAATCCTTCCTTTTTAAAACATGACTGTTACAGCTGGAATCAACTGTAGCTTGTACTTTTGGAAACACATGCTAAGAGTTAGGTATGTGAGTTTCTAGGCAAAGTAAGGGTATCAGTCAGTAAGGATAGCCAGTCCAGCCTAATCTATCTTCTGGTCATCCTACAGCTATCTGTTCCAAAGAAGGTCACCTCAGGGGACACCTTAAAAGGGTATATAGGGATTAAAAGGGATACCTAGTTTCCTCTTGTGTGGCACAGGGGAAACTCGATGTTGAATTCATTTATTCCTTTAGAATGTATTTTTTTTTCTTGGTTTGAACTCCATGGTTGAACCATGGATTGAACTCATGACCTCCTACTTGCCAGGCAAGTGCTTGTGCAGCTGAGATAAATCCCCGGCCCTGGAATGTATTCTTAAGCACTAGAAATTGTTCGATCATCACATATTGAGAAAGAGCTATTTAATATTTTTCTTTGCCTGCATATGGCCTGCCTACCCTCTAGAGGCAAAATAGAATGCAGAAGGAAGTACTGATTATGACACTAATTCATAATTAGAATTGTCCTATGAGAAAGGGAAAATGGCCAGAATTACCTTATGTTCAGGCTTTCTTTGCATTAAAAGATAATCCTTACTTGTGCTCAAAATATAAATGTAAGCCAGGAAAATCAGACACCTTTGGCCCAGCTGACACAGCTGGATACATCCACGATCACCCAGCCTGAGGTTCCCCCCGACTTGCCCTTTGGATTCTGAGAATGAGGTTTGGACCCTGCAGAGGTTTCCAACTTTACTCAAACCCTCCTTTACTATAACTTCCCCCAGTTGCTGTTTGGATCTTAAGAGTAAGGCTATATCCATCCTTAGGCGATTTTGTTCAAGCCCCTCAAGTTCAGTTCCTTACTGGAAGTAAATGGTAAATATGGTACTACCCATGTTCATGTGTTCTTTTCTCTCAGGGACCTCAAACAAATCAAACAAGATCTGGGAGAGTTTTCAGATGATCCTGGTAAGTACACTGAGGGAACTTACTTAGACCTATGAACTAGATTGGAAAGATGTAATATCACTCTTAAATCAACTGTTGATTTCTAATGAGAGACAAGTAGCATTACAAGTTGTTATTACATTTGGAGATGACTATCACATTGATAATCTTAGAAGGCCAGAAGACAAGCAGCCAGGGGAATAGCTGGTTCCTACTGGAGCCCAAGCATACTCTATACAACATCCTCACTGGCCTACTAACCAGATGGGAGACTAGAACTATAGGAGACATCTTCAAACATGCATTCTTGGAGGTGTAAGAAGGATGAAAGCTAAGACTTTTGATTATTTAAATTATTAACCATTTACCAGAAGAAAGATGAGAAACCCTCTGCCTTCTTAAACTGTTTACAAAAATCATTGATAAAATATACATTCTTGGCTCTGAATCTGATAGGATAGATTATTCTTTTTTTCCTTTTTATCGGTACCAGGGATCAAACTCACAACTGCCTGCTTGCAAGGCAGGCGCTTATGCCACTGAGCTAAATCCCCAGCCCTGATAGATTATTCTTAATGATAAGTTTATTACCCAGTTGCCCTCAGATATCAGAAAAAAGCTACAGAACATCACTTTTGTTCTAGATACTTTAGTGAAAACTGCCTCCTTAGTAGTTTACAACTGAGACCAGGAGGAAGCCAACGATAGAAAACAAAGAAACCAAGAAAAAATGGCTGCCTTAAAAGGAGTAGACTCTATAAGTCTCATTCTTGGGGCTCCAAGATGAGCTTGACAATTAAACTTACCTGCTACCACTGCTAAAAGCCAGGCCACCATAGGAGACAGTGATAAAAGCCCTCACAACAAGAGGCCCCCCAAGTCATTCCCTGATCACAAAGGTGACCACTGGCAGTCAGACTGAGCCCTGAGGTGAAGGCCCCAGAAATCAGACCATCTTGCCAGCAGTTCCAGCATTCTGAAAGTATCTGGGCACTCTCTGCCTTCTCCCTCTGGCTAGACAGTCACCTCCATAGGAGCTCTGGGAAATACGACTATTGAGGGGAAAGAAAGCAGCCTACTGCTAGACAATGATGCATGCCTCTAGGCCCTCTTTTCAACCCTGGCCTTCCTTCCAGCCATCTACTTCAGTGAAAGGAGTCACTGGAGAGGAGGTGACTCTTACCATTTCTCACAACCCTTAGGTTGTAACTGGGACAGCTTTCTCTTCACTCTTTTTAAATTATGCCAAAATTCCAGTTCCCCTCTTGGGGAGAGATACCTTATTTTACTTCAATCCTGTAATACACACGGTCAGGAGGGCTGCCTCCCCACCATGGGCACAGGAACTAAAGGTAGAATAGGTAAAGCAGTAAGAGCTGCCCTAGTGCAAATACATTTCAAAGATCCCTCTATTTTGGGGCTGGGGATTTAGCTCAGCGGCATAAGCGCCTGCCTTGCAAGCAGGCAGTCGTTGAGTTCAATCCCCGGAAAAAGGAAAAAGAAGGAAAAAAAAAAAAAAAAAAAAAAAAGATCCCTCTATTTTTCCCTCATCAGAGATAATGCCCTCTAACAATTATTGCCCATAATCAGTAAATTAAGGGCATAAGGTCTACTCAAACATTGTAATATCTTGTGCTCACTCCACTCTTGGAGGCTCAAAAACTCCGGGGAATGGAGATTGGTACAGGTCATCAGATTGATAAATGACACAGCAGTGCCAACCCACCTGGTGGTACCTAACTTGTATACTGTCTGTTCACAGATCTACAAGATGTCCATTGGTTTTCAGTGCTAGATTTAAAAGATGCCTTCTTTTGTATTTCTTTACAGATTCCCAATTTCTTTTTGGCTTTTTTTTTTGGTACCAGGGATCGAACTCACAACCTCACGCTTACTGGGCAGGTGCTTGAACCACAGAGCTAAATCCCTGGCTTATTGCCTCTGAAAATCCTCATGACCAGGCTTCTCAACTGACTTGGACTGTGCTTTCTCAATCATTTTGGAGGCAGTCCGTCCTCATCTCGTTGGGTAAGTAAGTGCTTTCCCATGACGGTGTATTTTGAATAATCTCGCAATATGTAGATTATATATTATTATGTACTCACTAAAAAGAGCTCTCTAGCCAAGGTACCCATGCTCTGCTGAATTTTCTAGTAGACAGAAATTATAAACTCTTTAGGCCTAAGGCATAACTTTGCAGCTTTGATATAAAATACTTAGGCTTTACCATATCTAAGGGAACCCAAAGGCTAGGGGAAGAGAAAATTAAATCAATACTTTCTTTCCTGCAGCCCAAGACCCTAAAACAGCTAAGTGGATTCCTAGGAATTACAGGTTTTTGTCACCTTTAGATAGCAGGGTATGGTGAGATTGCAACAGCTTATAAAGGAAGCCCAAAAGGCAGATACCCATATTTTAACCTGGGAACCTGATCCCAAACTGCATTGCAGAAACTTAAACAAGCACTTCTAAAAGCCTGCCAACAGGACACCCTTTGGGTCTGTATGCTGATGAAAGGTGGGGCAAGGCTTTGGGAGTTATACATGATTGAGGAGCTGCTCAACAGCTTGGGTACCTGAGTCATGATTTAATACACTATAGCAAAGGGATGGCCTTTGTGTCTTACAGCTGTGGTCACAGTGACTTGGAGGCATCTAAGACTTTAGGCAAAGATCTCCTTATATATACATCTCACCATGTGGCAGGACTTCTTTCTTTTGAAAAGAGCCAGACAATCAAATTCGTTTTTTTTTTAATTGGTACCGGAGATTGAACTCACGACTGCCTGCTTGCAAGGCAGGTGCTTATACCGCTGAGCTAAAACCCGAGCCCCATTCAATCAAATTTCTTAGAATACCACGTTTTACTCCCAGAAGGATCAGCTATTCGAATAAAGACATATCCTTCTTTAAATTCTGCTACCTTTCTACTGAAAAGGAGGAAATTGCTGAAAAGCTGAAAGCATGACTATAAACAGGTAATTCTCCCTATACACACTGCCAAAAAAAGACTCATTTGACACATTCCTGACTGACCCTGATTTTATTCTCTTCTGTGATGGCAGTTCCTTTGTGGAAAATGGGCCAAGAAAGACAGGGTGTGCAGTAACTTTTTCAGGTGCCTGAAAGTTTCTCATTTGCCCCTAGTGCTCAGCTAGCAGGACTCATAGCTCTAACCAGGGCTTTTCATCTCAGTGAAGGACAAAAAGTCAGCATTTATACTGATTCAAAGTATGCTTTTCTTGTATTACATGCCTATGCAGCCATATGGAAAGAAACAAAATTGTCTGACAGGCAAAACTTTTATCAGCTGCTTATATGCCCTCCAAAGTAGTGGTTATTCACTGCAGAGGACACCAAACAGGAGTTGACAAAGTATCTCAAGGTAATAAACTGGCTGATACAGCTGTACAAGATGCCGCTCAAGGGTGTCCCCTTCAGAAACTCCCCCCCTGCAATCTGGGAAGGGCCCCTTGATCACACTCAAGCTAAGTACTCTCAGTCAGAAATCAAACGGGCTCTCTCCCTTAGATGTCAGTTCTTTCCATCAGAATGGTTACAGTCAGATGATGGTAAACTGTTCCTTCCTGGTTCTGGCCAATGGAAAAGCATTAAGACTTTACATCAAATCTTCTACTTGGGGAGAGACAAGACCTAGCAGATGGCCTCAAAGTGATTCAAAGGAAAGGGACTCTCCCAGACAACACAACATATAGTTAAAATACATGAGCCCTGCCAAAAGACAGTCCTCCTAACTGGACTACAGCCCCTCCTCTGTGTACAGACACATAGTAAACACCCTGGAGAAGACTGACAGCTTATTTCACTTGTATGCCAAAGTAAGGGGCCCAATGCCTATTGGTCTGGGTAGATGCTTTCACAAACTGGGCTAAGGCTTCTCCTTGCAGAACACAAAAGGCACAAGTAGTAGTAAAGGTTTTTGTCTTAGAAATCATCCCCAGGTTTGAGCTTCCCAAGAGCTTACAGAGTGATAATGGGCCTTCTTTTAAAGGAACAGTCACACAGGCTGTCTTTCAGGCACTGGGCATTCTCCATCCCTTTCACTGTGCAGAGAGATCATAATCATCAGGAAAGGTACAGAAAATGAGACCCTAAAGAGACATCTTTGCAAAATGGCTCAGGAGACCTAACTACAGTGGTCTCACTTACCACTTTTAGCTCTAATCAAAGTAAGAAATACACCTCAAATTTAAGGCCGTGATCCATTTGAAATGCTTAATGGATACCTTTTTCTTACAAATCATCAAACAGATGTCTTACTAAAAGATGTCACCTCACTGGCTAACTTGTAGCACTTTTCAACAAGTAATGGAAATTCAGCCTAAAGCAAAGGGAAATTCCATATTCTATTCAAGAGATTTAGGACTGGTGAAGTCTCTGCCCTCATTATCTCCTTCCCTAGGTCACCATACATGGTGATCCTATCAACTCCATCAACTGTCCAGATAGCACACCTGGACTCTTGTATTCACTACCTGACTCAAACCCAGGGAACCACAAACTGTCACTGAGTGTGAGCAACCATCCGAATAACCACGTGAACTCACAGAAGACTTAAAATTCTTCAAAAAGAAAGCAAAGTCTTCAGATATGTAGTCTAAGGTGTTACTCTTAGCCCTTCTAGTAATTACTTTTCCAGCAAGTCCTTCCTGGTGTGGGCCCAGGAATATGCAGAGTCACTACAATAAACATCTCATTGGACATATGGTTCCCCTCATTAAGGGCATCAGGACTTCCTTGGAGGGTATCCTCACTTCAAAGAGATGACTAGAATAAGCTACAATATAACACTGATGAGGTATGAAAAAGTTCAGTGGTTCATAGTTCACCCCACAGTAAAGCAACTGAGTAGCCCATAAATGACACCCTTAGTAATCCTGGACATAATCAAATTTTTGCCTAAAAATGCCACTGAATCCTTGCTATAGACTCTGGCAAAATCCCTATGAAGTAGGAATAAGGGATCTGTCATCAGAGCCAACAATTATATATATAAAGATGGTTACTTTCAGACGTGAGATGACTGTATGTGGTTAACTATAAGACAACTTAGTAGAAAAGTTCCCTTCTGTTGCGAACAAAGAAATCACTCTTATTCTCATTGGTCTACTTGGGAGGGACACTCCCCAAGCAGTTTATATACACCACAACTTTATAGGTTGAAGACTGCTTTGTAACAGACTGGTTTAAACACCCTTGAATTAGATGGGAAGCCTCCAATGGCACTTGCTGATCCTGTGGAACTAAATTGTGTCCCTAGCTGCCCCCTGCATGGATAAGGAGATGCATGCTGAGATTTGCATGGTTACAAAGGAGGAATGTCAAAAATATCAACCAACCTGCAGACTTACCCTATCTATGACACTGATGAAACAGTGAAACTAGAAGTGTGTTTCACTGGCATGATCATTTGCTTTCTATCTTTATTGCTTCCCTAGGATTAGAAGATACCTTGTAATACATCAAGACCTTGACTGACTATACTCATTGGGTCTTAAACAACACCTCAACTGATCTCTCTCTCCCAGATGAAGTGAAATTAATAAAACAAGCTGTCTTCCAAAATTGGATGGTACTAGACATTCTAACAAGAGAATACTTGTACAGTTGTAAAAGCTGAGTATTGCAGGAACATTCCTGATTCTTCTGCTTATATCTCAATGGCTGTTCAAGAAATGACACGTTAATGTCACATCGGATTCTGAAATTCCCAGGACCTTCTCCCAACTCTTTGTGGGGAGCTATTACCAACTCTTCCTGGTGGAAACATTTGTTAGTCTTATTTGTAATAGCATTGTTGATCTTATTTAGCCCATGCATACTTAACTGCTTCTCTGGCCTTGCCTCCTCCCAAAGCTATATGCCTACCCAAGATGAGGCCTTTAGACAGACCTTCTGTGTAGTATCTTTGGCTGCCAATCACAACTATGACCCCCATCAGCCAGAAGCAGCCAGAATAATCTTGGTCCCTTGCCCCTGTGGCAGTCAGGTGTATCTCTTCAGAGAAAGGAATATTATAGACAGCTATTTTTTTTTTAAGGTAAAATATTATAGTCTAGCCCCTTGAGGGAGTCAATGCAGAAGATGAGAATATATTACAACTACGGAGGTGCATCCATTGAAAGCCTGGCTTCAAGACAAAGACAGAATGACCAGGTCTACATATCTCCCAAGGGATACCCAATATACTATGACTTGTGTTATGGCTTATACCTAGATGCCCCCCCCCCCAAGCTTTATGTGGTCACAGGTGGGGATTCTCCACAGGCAGCTGAATCTAATGTGTGTGACTGATTCATAGTGCAATGTTAGGATAAAGGGTAGGTGACTACTAAATCAGTCCACTGATTGGTTTGGCACTAGGGCCCAGTAGCCTGGATACTATGTAAGGGGCAGAAAGATGTGGTTAAGGTTCTTTGTTGCTTTTGGTACCTTCGGTGCCATGAACAGTTCTCTGCAAAATCTCTCTGACAAGCCACTCCACCTTGGAGCCAGCTGATTATGGACTAAAATCTCTACAAACTGTGAGTTAAATACACCTTTCCCCCTTTAACTTTGGGTACTGGGTATTTTGTCTCAGCAAAGAGAAAAGTAACTAAGACAACCAGTATCTCCTGTCTAGACATATATCAGTCACTCAAGTGGGTAACCAGGACCTCCTGACTTATCTCTTCCAAAGAAGGTCCTTATTCTTTCAATGTACACTTTCTACATGATCTGCTTTCCCATTGGACCAATATTACATAAGCAGCTATACTTGTAATCTTATTGGTTGATCACAGCTTCATTCCACCTTGTATCTATCTCATGATTTTGGTCTATAAAACTCCCTCTTAAAAGTGGGGTCCAAGGCAACCCACCTGGGCCCCCTCTTCTGTCTCTCAGTAGATGCCTCTCCCTCAGTAAAATTTCCTAATCTTAATCTCTGTTGTTCCTTGAGCTTCATTCTTTGATTTTGGGGAACACAAATTTGGTGTACTGGACATCTAGCAGGTTGGGAATTATATTTCCTTTATATCACTTGGAGGTCCTATATCATTAGGATCAATCTGGATTACTACCTTCCATCCACATATTCACAGGAAAGGCAGGGCACCAAACAGGTAGCTTTTTGGAGATGCGTTTTAGAGATGACCCTCCAGCTGATTTTGGACCCCAGATGGTAACTTCATGCCCCTCTCTGCAGCAGGGAAGGGGGACGAGGAAATAATCAACAGCTAATCCTCTATCCTCCGAGGAGCAGCCATGTCTCCAGGGCAGGCCATTTGCTCCAGGATCCGCCCCCAGCCTCTCTTCCATCCTAGCAGCTCCCTCCTCCGGCTCCCAGGAAAAGAAAAAGAGTACAGGAATGGATCTCAAGGGGGGTTAGGAAGGAGGTTAAGGGGGTACAACACACTCAGAGGCAAGGCTCCCACCCACTCCCTATCCTCTTGGGAACAATGGCCAGGAGACTGGGAGGTGTTCAATGAGCCCCCACCCAAAAACAAGTTTTACCAGGCAGCACCCCCAGACTCAGGCCTGGTACTCAACTCTACCCAGACCCAAGAGAGTCTCAACCCCATCGCAGTCTGGAAATATCGCTCTTTTCGGTCTTCTGTCTCCTCCATAGCCGAGGATTTGTGAGGGCGCTTGCTGCCCCATCAAAGCCATGAACCTCCTAGATTCCTCCTTCATTTGTCACAGCAGATCTCCACGGTGATCCTGGGCACCTAGATCAGAATCCTGCCTCCTCTCCCACACGTCTTGTATGGGATTACTCCTTCCCGCAGCGCATCCTCCCAGCGCTCCGGTCCCAGGCCTTCCTCCTGGAACCCCTGTCATGTTCACGCAGGCTCGCGTCCCTGGCAGGCCTGGAGGATCTAGGACTCCGCCTCAATTAGACATCCCTGCAGCCCAGGCCTCCATCAGCCCCAGACCCCTTCCAACCAAATCTCCTCTTCCATCCCCCGAGACCCCGCCCCAGAGCCCTCCTCCGGACATGCGGGATTACACTCTCCCCTAACCCCTCACCCAGGGCTCGGCTTTCGGCAATGGCAGACCCCTCTACTCCAACTCCGGGCTGCCGGGCCCAGACGCCTCCCTGACCCGCCACCTGGGTCTCTGGTCTCCGGGACCCGCCCCACCTCAGGTACCGCGCCCCCAGCACACCGTATACGTGTCGACGAGCTCGGAGCCCACGACGCGCGCCTCCTTAGCGGGCTCTGCTTCCCGCTCCGGCCCGAAGCCGCGCGCCGTCGCTGCCGCCATGTTCCGGCTCCGCAGTTCCTGACTCCGACTGGCGGCAGCGGGAGGCGGGGTCAGCGTCCCACCGCCCCCCGGTCCCCGCAGACCCCCGCCCGCGCCGCCATCTTGGTCCCGCCGCCTTCTCAGTCCTCGCCCCGCCCCTCACCCGTAATTGACAGGTCCGCCGGCAGCGCGCGTGCGCAGCTCTTGTGGACCGGCTGGTACTACTGTGCTGTGTACCTGCGTGCCTCCGCCGCAAGAACTTGATCCCCTATAAACCCTCTGTCTTCTGAAAGGAAGAACTGAGGTCTCGGACTCCTTAAGCTACTTGAAGCAAGTTACTGCCTCGCCTCGTCTGTTTCCCGCTGTGGAAAAGGGGGGGCAGTAACAGTGGCGTGCCCGGCTCTGGAGTTCTTTCCCTGTGTGGAGACTTGACCAGTGCTTAACGCGCAGGTGTCTCCTGTGTCACGCCTGGTTCCTGGAGAATACCGTGGGCTAATTCAGCCTGTTCTCAGCTGCAGTCATGCAGACCGAGGCAGAGGGCAGGCTGTGTTTATGAAGGGGCGGGGGAGGCTGCATGAAATGGTGGGTAGGTGGACAAAAGGATCTGTGCTGGCCGTTCAGCCCAGGTGCGCTAGGATGACCTGCTGGAGCTCAAACCCATGAGAGGTACACTGACCCGGGACCTGGGAACTGCGGTGCTGGCTTAGGGAAACAGCCCTGGCCCAGTGGCAGCCTGAGAGGCAACCCCTAAAGGGAATGGGGAGACGACCTGGGACAAGTGGCTGGCCCTCTGCCAGCCATATTTGCTGAAAGACATGCTTGCAGCTGACTCAAGCCCAAAGTGAGTGTGGCTCTTCCTGGGGAGGTTGGAAGGGCTGGGGCATGGCTTCTCAGTACCTCTGGCTAAAGAACTCTAGACCTTGTCCAAAAGAGGGTCAGCGATTCCTGCCTCAGTCCCATATCACTGTACTCCGAACTTGGCTCCTCTTGACATGGTCTTATGCACTCAGTTTTTATTTGCATGCTCCTCACAATCACTTCAGAGAGAGGTACCCTGGGCAGGAGGTACTATGAGTCAGATTTTGGACAAATCAGTACCCTTCCTGAAGCTTCAGTGCCTTTATCCAGAAAGTGGGGGGAGGGGGGGCAATAGCACCCATTTCCTTGACTGGCTAGAAGGTTGAGGCACTATGTACAGGGGCCTGGCCTGGGACCACTACTTTGCCTCTTTGTGCCAAGGCTAATGTTTTTACCCATTCAAGAAACTTTTCCTGAGACTTCTCAGTGGGGTGACCAAGACAAAGGGTGAGAGACCTGGTCCTTGCAGCTCTCATTGCTCTCTGCCCTGGGCAGAGGATACAGGGACTCAGGCCAGCCAGGGATCTCCCCAATAGGGTAGGGGGTGGAGGCGGGTGGAGGCTACTGCTCGAAGCCCAGTGGTGGGCTGGGCTGGGAATGCAGGAGGCAGGGCTATTTAAGCTGAGTCCTGAAGGCTGGCTGGCAACCCCAGCAGTCTGTCCTGTGAGCCGCTGCCATGGATGACATCTACAAGGCTGCAGTAAGGGAAGGGTCTGGGAAGGATTCGGGTGGGTGGGCAAACTGGCAGATTACTCGGTTCAGAATGGGGGGATCAAGGTCACCCAGAGAAGTGATGGGGCCCCAAGAAAGCTCAGCATACCTTCAGCACAGACCCTCAAGGGGATGGTGGAGCTGGCATTTATTTGAAGGTGCAGGAGGGAGGGGAGTGTGAGGGTATGGGAGGGGCTTTCACAAGAAATGGAAGGGAACTCTTAGTGTTCTGTCTTCCCTGTGTTTCTGAGTGTCTTCAGTCTGTTACTGTCTTTCACCCACCTCTTCTACATTCCTCTCTCTCTTTTCTGGGTCTTTTTGTCTTTCTCAATCTCTTCCTGCCTCTGTTTCTGCTGAGTTCTGTGTCCCTGCTGCTGTCTCCCTATCCCCACCCCCTATATCTACCCCTCACATTCTGTTTCTTGTTGCCCCATTTTTGTTTGTTTTGTCTTTTTCATTTTTATCAGTACCAGGGATCGAACTTGTTGCCCCATCTTGATCTGTCACCTCCTCCAGCTCCTTAGATAGCTGAAGATGCTTTAGTGGGCAGGAAGAGGACCTGAATCCTGGGCTAAGAAAAGGGGCTTTGAAATTTGAGGCCAGGAAGAACAGGGCTTGGAAGAGTCAGGGAAGAAGGGAACTGAGAATGGAGGCTGTGGCTCCCATGGGATCTGACAGGCTCCATACCCAGTGCTTAGGGAGGGGCAGTGAGGGGAGGGGGAGGGAAGGGTAAGGGAGTAAGGGCTGGAGAGTGGTCACCCCAAGGCTCTGCAGCTTGCTAGGGTCATTAAAGGACTACAGATCCTATTCTGTCAGGGAGGAGGCAATCTTCCCCGACCCTGGAGGCAAGGACATCCTGACCCAGATGGCTATTCCCAGAAGAACCCCCTTCACCCCCAGAAAATGGCCCCACTCCTGGGGAGGGAAGAGTTATAGCTGGCTCCGTGGTGTCCCTGCCTGTCTTGTAGGAGCCCATGGATCTGGGAGGGGAACAGCACTCCGCCTAGTGCCCATACAAGGTCCGCCTAGTGCCCATACAAGGTCCGGTGGGGCTGGGGACTAATTTTGGCTCCCGAGGCAGCACCAGAAGGCCAGGGGGCCAGATAAGGCTGCCCCACCCCCTGCATGCCAGAGTCCCCAGAACAATCACCAGGTTTAACTTTGTCCCCTGTTAAAAATAGCCCAGTGGCCATCCAGGTCAGGTTACAGTGGGTGGCTTTGCTCACACCCACATTGGTTTTATTGTCCAACCTGAGGGACAGCTGTCCCTCAACTATGCAGCTTAGGTTTCATTAGGGTAGCTGAAAGGGCATGGAATGGTCACTGAGTATTGTCATTCAGGGTCACCTTGATTCTGGGATGAGGGATGCCCACCTGTCACCCTGACCCTGAGCCCAGCCTCTCTGAGGCAGGCTGTGTTACCTCAGGTCTTTGGGACAGGAAGGGAAGATGAAGGCCACTGCTCTATGGCCTAGGACCTGCTTTAGTCTTCCTGCCTGTGGAGTGACTTGGTTTCCTCTGTGGCAGCTAAAGCCTGAATCTGAGTCCTGAGACCCCTTTTTCTCTCTAGGTAGAGCAGCTGACAGAAGAGCAAAAAAATGGTGAGTACCTCCTGTCTCACATGTGGGGGGACAGTGAGCCAGGCTGGGGGAGCATGGGGACCTCTTGCTAAGAGTGAACACCATACTGGAAGCCACCCAGCTGGGGGTCCTTCTCACTGTGACCTCAGAGAGGTCTCAGAGGGAGCCAGGCAGGTTGGCAAATGGCACCAGAGACCTGGCTTTCCAGGGTCCTAGCTGCTGAGCCCTGGCTGCTTTGTCCCCTCAATGCCCGCCATTGGACACAGAATTCAAGGCAGCCTTTGACATCTTTGTGCTGGGTGCTGAGGATGGCTGCATCAGCACCAAGGAGCTGGGCAAAGTGATGAGGATGCTGGGCCAGAACCCCACACCCGAGGAGCTGCAGGAAATGATTGACGAAGTGGATGAGGATGGTGAGCACCCCACACCCCCCAACTTCCAGAAACAGCTTGGTTTTGGGACTCAGATCCTTTCTCTGTTTAGCCAGAAGCTTTTTCACCTCTCTGGGCCTCTGACATCTCAGTTATAAAATAGGTACAATGCCCGCAGTGCCTCACAGAGTTGGTGTGACAGTGTGGGAAGGACAGGGTTTGTAGGGCAGGTGCTGGCCTTAAAACAGCTACCTTGCCAATCCCTAGGCAGCGGCACAGTGGACTTTGATGAGTTTCTGGTCATGATGGTTCGGTGCATGAAGGACGACAGCAAAGGGAAGTCTGAGGAGGAGCTGTCAGACCTCTTTCGCATGTTTGACAAGTGAGCAGACGCTGCGATTCTGACCTCAACTCAAGCAGGCCAGGGAAGGAGAGTAGCCCCAGATCCAAGCCTGGGAATGTTCCAGCTTCAGTCTCCCATTCTGCATGCTTGTCTCCGGTGCCCCTTTCCCCACCTGCTGACCTGTGGGCTGCCTCTTCTGCTTCTCCCCATGCCGTTCTGGGCTCTGAGGCTCCCTTGCCCTCTCTTTAGGAATGCTGATGGCTACATCGACTTGGAGGAGCTGAAGATGATGCTGCAGGCTACGGGTGAGACCATCACAGAGGATGATATCGAGGAGCTTATGAAGGACGGAGACAAGAATAATGATGGCCGCATCGACTATGATGGTGAGTGGGTGACTGGGCCCAGTTTCCTGCTGTTCACACCCTGGGTGGCCTACCACTTACCCACACCTGCCTGTCTCTCTGCAGAGTTCCTGGAGTTCATGAAGGGTGTGGAGTAGACACTGGCCTTTTCCCAGAGCTGCCCAAGCCCAAGCTTCCATTCCAGCCAGGCCCAGGGATGGGCACAGGGGCTAGGGTTCCCAGGGTCTGAGCATGGATGTGTCCTTGATCCATGATCCTCTCTGATTCCTTCTCTTGCCCTTGTCCTGGGATGTATAAATAAAACCTTGCTCCCGGGAGTCCTGGTGTCTGACTCTGATGTTCCCTGGCCTGGCTCTGCCCGGAGTCTCTCCTGCCTGACAATCCCATCCCAGCAGGCTGCCGGCAGAACTGTGCTCTGACTGCTGCCCACCTACCTTCTGCAGGTTAGACCCCAGATGCCCTGCACCATGCCCTGCTGACTGCCTTTCCCAGGTGCTGACCCCAGCCCTATCTGCAGCAGTCAGCTTCTGCAGCTCCAGAATCTGCATGTGGAGATTTAACAAGCATGTGGAGCATTGCCTTGGTCAGCTAGTTTGGTAGCCTTGAGGATCCCTCTGCTGGGAGGGCTGAGTTAGCTGCATGGGGCTTGCTTGCCCCTTGACACATCCACCTGGAGCTCTCAGCTCCGGCTGAGGTAAAGCTGTACCTTGTGGGGACTGCTGGATCTAACCTGTCTACCCACTCAGGAATGTTGACTTTCAGACCCTGAGAGGCATGTGGTTGCTCAGTATCCCATCACCCATTTGCAGGTACAGAGTCTAGGTCACCTGACTCCCAGGCCACGGCCATGTCTGTGGGGCTGGCCTCAGCGATCCAACTTCCCTCTCTGACAGGGAATAGGGGCCTAAGCCGTGGTGGCTTCCAGCTTAGTAGGAACATCCAGGCCAGAGCAGCAGTCGGAGGTTGTAAGGAAGTGGAGGTGTCAGGAGTGGCACTTGTAGGAAGGACAGCTGCCATTGGCACCCAGGCTTAACCAGAATGTCATCAGCTGTCCTGGCTCCACCCAGCCAGCCCGCAGCCTCTGCACCTGTGTCCCAGCCTTGGCATTCTCCAGACAGGCCTCGCATTCCAGAGACAGTCTTGGCATTCTAGGGATGCCTCTGGCAGGAGCTGCCTGGTCCCTGGAGAGATCTGGGAGGAGTGGAGAAGGATCCCCTCAGGCCTGCCCTCAGAAGCTGGAGAACTCAGGGAACTATACAGACACCCAGAAAGACCCCGGAAGGATGATGCTTCGGAGATAAAGAAGGGCCACAGTGAACAGCCCGGCCTACCAGCATACCATCCAGAGGTTACTGAGCATGTGCCAACTGACCCTGGATTCTGGGACAAATAAGAGCATGGCCTGGTCCTGAAGTTCTGGAATTTCTAGTCAATTGAGGATGCAGCAGGAGAAGAATGTGCAGGGCTAGAATGACATGGTGGGCCTATGGGAAAGAGTGGTCCAGAAAGGCTTCCTGGAGGAGGTGACACTGAGCAAGGCCTAAAGAACCACAGGGAACCAGTCGTAGGAAAGACTGAGAAGGCCTCAGAAGCAGGAAGGCAGTGCTGGGCTGGCAGCCAAGCTCCAACAGCCTCCGGGAGGAACCTGGTGGCTGGGTTCAGCTTGTGTGAGGGCTGAGCAGCTCATGGGGCTGCAGAAGGGGGAACAGGTTGTAGGGGAGGCATGATTTGTTGTGTTTCCTTAGGATTGGGTCCAGGCAAGGCTTTTTTCTTTCTTTTTTTTTCTTGTCCTCCAGTCCTGAAGATTGAACCCAGTGCCTTTAGCCCTTTTTGAAACAGGATTTCCCTAACTTGCTAAATTGTCTAGGCTGGACTTGAAATTGGGATCTTCTTGTCTCAGCCTCAGAGAGTGTTGGGATTATAGGTGTGCAACCCCACAACTGGCTCTAGTCAGGCATTTTTGATGGGTTGATCACAAGACAGATGGAGAGTTTTTGTCCGTATTAAAGTAGAGATGCGTTTGATATGGTACAGTGGGAAGGTAAAGCCAGGTCAGAGGTAAGGGAGGGTGCAGAGTAAGAGCTGTGAATGTCGGCGTCATCAGTGTGGAAGCCTTTCCTGGCTTTGGCACAAATGAGGACCTTGGGAAGATTCTGTAGAGAGGTGGCAGAGGGCTGGGTGCTGGGCACTCCTTATGGGCAGCTGGGAAGGACATGTAGCTAGTGGAGTGAGAGGGAGATGCTGGCTGAAAGAGAGTACTGGGCTATGGGAGGGAAGAACCAAGGCATGAGTGTCAGCTGCTGGCCCTGGGGTTTGGGGAACAGAGGTCCTCAGGCCCTGAGCGCCTGGATAGGAGGGTTTCAGTGGAGCGTGAGGCATGAACCAAGTCCAGGAGGCACAATGAGTGTGGACAGTGCCCCAGGACAGAGAGGCCCGCGGGGGGGGGGGCTGCTGATGTGAACGAGCCCATGAGGCAGCACAGGGGATGATACTTGTGCAGGGCAGAGCTGCCCAGGTATGCAGCTGTGTGCCTGCAGCAGGCCACGTCAGGGCCTCCTCATTGTGCTGGGCCCTGGATCTGAGCTGGAAAGGGGTGCTTGAGGCAGGGGAGCAGGCAGACAGGTCACACTGGCACTAGAGGAACTGAGGTGCAGATGGTGGTATCCAAGAGAAGGGATGTTCTAAAGGGCTGTGCGGAAGATCACATCCCTTTTGATGGCTACTTGAAGGGCAGTTGCTGATGTAGGGGGAAGCTGAGGTCATTGGTGATGAGCAGGACAAGGACTCAGGAGGCCAAGCCAGCTGAGGTGGCACTGAGGCATGTGGGATGTTCATGAGATGGGTGAGGGGGAGGGACGTCCCTCTGCAGTGGAAGGAGGAGGATGTCGGGGTCTCCCCAGAGCCACAGCCTGTCCAGTAACATGGTGCCATAAAAAGCCACGTGTTCCACGTTGAGAAAAGGTGGCCCCAACCACCTCCTGGATGTCCCTTCGGAGGGGCTCAAGTCCTGGGAGAGAGGGGAGAGGTGGTCCCAGCTGTGGTGGGAGCTCCAGGGGATGCATCAGAGAATTTGGGTGAGGTAGGAGCTGTGTGGGGTGGGTGGCTGGAGCACCCATTCTTTCAGGTATGCCCATTCCAGAATTCTGCCAGGTATGCTGGGCTGCTACCCTCTACCACCCATTGAGGCACCTGCTTCATGAACATGCACACATCATACACACACAGTGGCCCGTGGCTCACAAGTTCCAATCTGCTCGTGGTCTGTTATCTCCTGTATGCACACCTAGCTCTGTCTATTTTGCTGGGCCTCCTCTTCACTTCTGAGCTGTGTATCCTTGGCCTGGACAATGCTTTCTCTGTGAAGCTCCTCTTGATGGCTCCATTGTAGTTGCCTGGTTACTGCCTAACTCCTGAAGAACCCAAGGTTTTTGGGAGGTAGTACTCCTACCCGGCTGGGAGCCGGTGGCTTTGTAATCTGGCAGTTCCATCTCTGTCCACTAGGTGACACCCAATACTTGTGGCTGGGTCCACTGATCCAGGAATTTAGCCCCACCTGGTAGCCAGCAGGGATCCCATTGCCCCTCTAGACTGGGAAATGAAATCCGGAGAACAGAAGCACTTGACCAACGCCATGCAAATCAACAGAGTTTGAGGTCCCAGCCCCTGAGGAGTGAGCTGGCCCTCATACCCTGCTCCAGGAAGCTCCAGCCCTTCCTGCAGCTTCAACAGGGCCTTGGCTGGGCAGAGACCTCCAGGGTGGGCTGGCAGGCTGAGGAGTGCTTGGGCTTCCTGCCCACAGATGGTGACCACATGATGGCAGAAGGACTACTTGGCCCAGTCTCCAGCTAGATGGTGGCCTCCAGCCTGGGCTCTGTACCAAAACGTCTCCTGGGGAAATAGAGGGGGGGGGGAACCTTTGAGGTCCCAACATAGCATCACCCCTTAGCAGCCTTGCATAAGCACTGCTCACAGTTTATAAGTCCTGTTATACCCGAGCTGGCTGGTCCCTGACCCTGGGAGACAATCGATCTGGGGTCTGGGCCAAGGCCTGTGCAGCCAGAGGCAGGGCCAGGCTGAGTCCAGCCTGAGTCTCTGAGCAGCTCAAGTTGCATACGTGCTGGGGGGAGGGTGGGAATGGGACAAGGAGACAAGTTTGTGTACCCCTGGTCCATGGGCAATCTGCTTCCTTCCAGGGCTGAGTGGGGAGAGTAGGTGGGTCCCAGGAGCCCCAGAAACAAAGAGGGCCCCAGGAAGGGGCGGGGCTGAGTTGTCCTGCCCTCAGCCTGCTGTGTAATATGGGCTAGGTCCTTCCTTCCCTTAGCACCCTCATGTTTCCTGACCACCATTTGAGAGCCAGAGCCATTCTCTCTGTGATGCCCAACCTGAGGGAGTTTTTAGACCCTGGGAGCTGCAACTTCAGCTCCTGTGTGAAATTTTCTTTGTGCCCAAACCTCAGAATCTGGGTCTAGGGGTGGTGGTGGAATGGAGGTAAGTGGGGGGCGGGGGCAGAAGTTGCTCTCAGACAGAGAAAGATTCATCCCCTTTGTCTCATCTCCCCCAACCCTATTCCATCTCCGTCCCCTGCCCAATCAGAGTAGGGCAACAGGATCACCGCGTGTGTGGCCCATGGGGCTCTGGAAAGAGCACACTGCCAGGATCTGTACCCTGGGTTGCTGAAGAACTGGGGTTTCCCTGTCCCTTGCCCTGAAATAAGCCCAGTGAACAGAGATGGAGCCTGGAAGATGTAAGGAGGGGCTATGGAGCTGGGGAGCCTGGTAATCCCTTGCAGGCTGGGCCATAATACCCCGGACTGGGGCACAGGGTTAGTTTGTGGGGGGGGGGTCTCTGCTTATGGGTACTGGAGAGGCAGAGAGCAAAGAGGAACCCAGCTGAACCCCAACCAGCCTTTCAAACTCTGACCCCTGATCTCTGGCCTGTTGTTTGTGCTATCTTCTCTGTCACTTTGCTGGAGCCTGGGGACCTGTGTGTGTGGACGTCTCTCTGTGAAAGCTGTCCATACTTCAGCTGGGAAAGTCTCCTCACAGGCGTACCGGTCAGTCTGGCTCAAAAGCATCAGCCAGCTGAGGCAAAGGGGAGAGGCAGGTGGATGAGGGTTCTTCCCGCCTCCCTTCCTCCTCCCCGCCTCCCGCCCAGGGCTGGGTGGAGCTGATGCCTTATAAGTGGCTGGCCTGGTGGCAACCGAGCAAACTACAGCCAGCAGCAGCACCAGAGGGCAGTTCCTTCCTCAGCATGGCCCCCTTGGCCTGGGCCGTCTGCTGCCTCGTGGGGGCCCTCCTGCTCCGAGAGGGCAGCCCCAGCCCCGTCCCCAGTGCCAGTGTGCCCCGCCTGCGGCTCTCCTACCGAGGTACTTGGCCTGAGCTGTCCTTTCCTTGTGCATGTTGAATGAGTGCCCCAGGCTCTAGGTCCTCCCAGCCAGCCCTGGAAGGGGACACCCAGCCTCGCCCCAACCCTTGGCAAAGGCTTCCACGATGGTGCTGGGGATGACTTAGGGAGGGCTGGGGAGGCAGGGAGGTCCTGGGAGCCACTGCCAGGGCAGGGCTATCCTGAGGGGAGAGAGACACGTGGAGCCTGAGAGACGCGGGCAGACTGGCAGGAGAGAGGGGACAGAAGGAGAAGGTCGGAGGGTCTGGGTGGACAGCAGGGACAGAACAGCAGCCCATCCCACAGGGAAGGGAGGAACCTCCCCCACCTTTTGCAGCTCACTCCCCAAATTGGTTTTCTTATCTCTCTCCACTGGGACCCCAGAGAGCAATTCTTCCTTTGCCACCTGCTGGGGGTGGGGGTTAGGGGGGCCTCCTCTGTCCTCACCCTGCTGTGGTGCTGCCGAGGGCTCAGCCTCCTCTACAGGTCCCCAAGACACAGGCTTGTGGCAGATTTCTCTTGGGGAAAGCAGTGGTAATCACCTTCCCCTAGGAACCCAGGACAGAGACCCGAGACACAGGCATGCTGTGAAGCTCTGAGGGGATGTGCTGCTCCACCCCAGAGGGGGTTAGGGGAACAGCCGTGAAGCTGTGGTTTAGGGGTGGTCAGACTACTAGAAAAAGCCCTGGAGTTGGTTGTGGTGGCACACTCCTGCCATCCCAGTATTCTGGGAGGATGAAGCAGGAGGACTGCAAATTAGAGGCCAGCCTGGGCAACTTAGTGACTGAATAAGATCCCGTTTCAAAAATAAAAAATAGGGGCTAGGGATTTAGCTCAGTGGCATAAGTGCCTACCTGGCAATTCAAGGTCATGAGTTCAATCCCCGGCACCCAAAAAATAAATAAAATAAAAATAATAAAAAAAAAGAAATAATAGAAGATGTCACCTCAGTTCAAGCCCTAGTATCACACACACACACACACCCCAATAGGAAAAGTTCCCCAGAGTATAGACAAATCGTGAAGGGCTTCCTGGAAGAGGCTATTGATGAGTTTGGGTATGAAGTGAGGTCAGGGCTGAGGTGCTCCTTTAGGGAAAGGCATCCTTTGGTGAGCCTACCCAGCCTATGGGTAGCCTATAGCTTTCTCTTGCCCTGTCCCACTGACAGTCCTTCTGTCACATCACCTCTGCCTTGGCTGTCAAACCCTAAGACCTATTTCAGGATCCTATATCCTGGGACTCCTGTTTTCAGACAGTTCCCCTCCCAGCACTGGAGCCCAAATAGGCAGCATCCACACCCCTGAGTTGCAGACTGGAACTCTGCCCAGCCAGGCCTGGCTTACCCCATGCTTATATTCTCGCCAGGTGTCCCCATGCTGGGGATGCACTCCTGCCTGTCCGTCCACCTCTGCCACAGTCAGCCTTGCTTGCTTCTGGGACCCACCTGCCCTTCCTCTAGGTCCCCTAGCCTTCTGCCCAGCTTGCTGCTGCAAGTTCTGTCAGTAGGGCCATCTTTCCTGGACTGGGCAGGGCCCAGATGGAACAGGGGGCCAAAGGATGGAGAAGTAGAAGGCAGGTGGCTGGGTCGTGGGACTGGGTGGAGGCTCAGCACCTCCTGTCCCATCTGCCCCCAGGAACCATGTGCCCATTGCCTTCCAGCAGCCCTATGGATGGAATGTTTTCCAGCATGTGTGTGTGTGTGTGTGTGTGTGTGTGTGTGTGTGTGTGTGTAAATGCACAGCCAGCAGTGCGCCACTTCCACCCCTGGGCTGGGGAAGTAGGCTGATCCACCACCCTCTCCTGTTTCCTAGACCTTCTGTCTGCCAATCGCTCTTCGATCTTTCTGGGCCCCCGAGGTTCCCTGGACCTCCAGGCCATGTACCTGGATGAGTATCGGGACCGCCTCTTTCTGGGGGGCCGCAATGCTCTCTACTCTCTGCGGCTGGACCAGGCATGGCCTGACCCTCGGGAGGTGAGCTGGACAGATGGGGAAAAGTGGGGAAATGAGGGTGGGAGGTTAGAGGAATACCTGGATCACTAGGCTGTGTTATAGGTCCTGTGGCCACCGCAGCCAGGACAGAGGGAGGAATGCATTCGAAAGGGAAGAGATCCTTTGGTGAGTGTTATGGGGGGGTCTGTTCCCCACCAGCCAGCCCTAGGCTCTGACCCCATGGGCATCTGCAGCTGCTCCCTCATATCTACGGGGGGCCTTTGGAGCAAGGTCTGAGGGATTCTGAAGTTGGTGAAAAATGTCACTTCTACCCACTTCCTGAGCTTATCAGCCAGGCAGGGCTGAGACTTGGGGTGGGGAGATGGAAGGTTTCCCTCGGCCCCAGGCTCCACGCACCTGCCTCTCTGCTAGATGGAGTGTGCCAACTTTGTACGGGTGCTGCAACCCCACAACCGGACTCACCTGCTGGCATGTGGCACTGGGGCCTTCCAGCCCATCTGTGCCCTCATCGCCGTTGGGCATCGTGGGGAGGTGAGCCTGGGCCAGCCCCACAAAGGACTGAGAAGCTGCGACATTTCCTCCCTGCCACCAAGATGGTTCCTTTTGAGCTCGGGGCGGGGGGGAGGGGGGGCAGCACAGATCTGAAAGGCGCCTTTGTGCTGGGTGCTGACCCCAACAAAGGGGCCTGGAATGAGGGCACCTTCTGTGCACCCCCACTGTCCAGCCACACGCGAGCAAGGACTGCTGCCTGGGTGGGAGCTAGAGCTGCTTCCCCAGGTGATGCCTCCCCTTTCCCCCAGCATGTGCTCCACCTGGAGCCCGGCAGTGTGCAAAGTGGACGGGGACGGTGCCCGCACGAGCCCAGCCGTCCCTTCGCCAGTACCTTTGTAGGTGGGTGATGCAGGCCAGAGTGAGCACAGGGAGGGTAGGAAGGGCAGCCTGGCCTACTCTGCTGACTCTGCCCCTCCCAACTCCAGGTGGGGAGCTGTACACGGGCCTCACTGCTGACTTCTTGGGGCGTGAGGCTATGATCTTCCGAAGTGGGGCTTCCCGACCAGCTCTGCGTTCAGACTCTGATCAAAGTGTCCTGCATGGTGAGGCAAGGCTGGCTGCAGTCTGCTCTTGGCAAGAGAGGAGGTGCTGAGCGGGGAATGGAGGCCTCCGTACTTCCTGGGGCTTCTGCTCCAGTGGGGTGCCCCTGCGGCTTTCTCTCCTTTACGGATTCAGGGCCTTATCTTCCTCTGTGAGCCCCTCTCTCCAGCAGCACCCTGTCATTCTCCCAGACCCTAGGTTTGTGATGGCCACACGGATCCCTGACAACCCTGACCAGGACAATGACAAAGTGTACTTCTTTTTCTCGGAAACTGTCCCATCACCTGATGGTGGCCCAGGCCATGTCACTGTCAGCCGTGTGGGCCGCGTCTGTGTGGTAAGAGCTGTGAAGGGGTGGTGAGGTTCCAGACCCCTGTTGCAGCCCCTTTCCCCAGACCTGCACCCCCCAGGGAAACTGAGGCTTCAAAGCTGGCATTCATGTTTCCCCACAATGGCCAAGGGTGGAGTAGAAGGAGGTGGGGACCGTCGTGTGGAGCCATGCTGACTCTGGCTCCCACCATAGAATGATGCTGGTGGCCAGCGGGTGCTGGTGAACAAATGGAGCACCTTCCTCAAGGCCAGGCTGGTCTGCTCTGTGCCTGGCCCTGGAGGTGCCGAGACCCACTTTGACCAGCTGGGTAAGGGCACGGCTGGGCAGGCCTGTGTGCTGGGAGTGGGAGGATGCAGACCTGGTGAAGGAACATCTTGGCAGCGAGTGATCCTGTGTCCCTTCTGTGTCCCAGAGGATGTGTTCTTGCTGTGGCCCAAGGCAGGAAAGAATGTTGAAGTGTACGCGCTGTTCAGCACTGTCAGGTGGGTGCATACGGCCTCCTTGTACCCCACCATCTTGGGCACCCTCTCTGCACTTCTGGTCCCTCTGTTGAGCCTCTGCCTTCTATCCCATTCTTGCTGTGGGTCCTTTTCTTTGTCCCTGACTTGGTGGTTCCATGACTGTATTCTCTGACTGCCTCTCTTTACCTTTGCCTCAGTGTCTTTGCTTTTCAGTCTCTGTCTGCAGCACGTACTGTCACCTGTGTTCCACTGTGAATGAATGCAGTCTGTTCCCCTTCTGTGACAAGAGCCCTGGCCTGACTGTTCCTGTCCTGGGCAGTGCTGTGTTCCAGGGCTTCGCCGTCTGTGTATACCACATGGTGGACATCTGGGAGGTCTTCAATGGGCCCTTTGCCCACCGAGATGGTCCTCAGCACCAGTGGGGACCCTATGGGGGCAAGGTACCCTTCCCCCGCCCTGGTGTGGTGAGTATCTGCTTGGCAAGGGAAGGCTGAGCAGATGCCAGGAGGGACTCCTTGGGAAGGCCAGGTCCACATGCAGCCCTGTGGCAGGAATGGCTGGGGCTCTGGTGGGCTGGGTGGGATGGTGCATGTTGGGAGATGGGAGAAGTTCCTGGTGGGAGCAGAAACTGTGGGGGGCATGCCATCTCAGGGTTCTTCAGGTGCTCTCTTTGCTACTGCCTACAGTGCCCCAGCAAAATGACCGCGAAGCCAGGACGACCTTTTGGCAGCACCAAGGACTACCCAGATGAGGTGCTGCGGTTTGTCAGGGCTCACCCCCTCATGTTCCAGCCTGTACGGCCTCGGCGTGGCCGGCCTGTCCTCATCAACACTAACCTGGCCCAGATGCCGCGGCAGATCGTGGTAGACCGCGTGGAGGCAGAAGATGGGACCTATGATGTCATTTTCCTGGGGACTGGTAGGAGGGCTGAAAGCAGGTGGCCAGGCTAGGGAGGTGTGTGGGCTCCCTCTACCTCTTCTGCTGACCTCTCCACTGCTGCTCCAGACTCAGGCTCTGTGCTCAAGGTCATGGCTCTCCAGGCTGCAGGCTCAGCTGAGCCTGAAGAGTTACTTCTGGAGGAGCTCCAGGTGTTCAAGGTGAGTGGGCTGATGGAAGGGAATCCTGTCTCTGGGGTTGAGGCTGGAGAGAGAGAAGCCCGGGTAAGCCTGGGGAGGGCTGAAAGTGCTGGTGCATATGCTGCTATCGAGGTCTTACCGATGCTTCAGGAGGAGTGAGAGGCCTAGAGCCAGCCTGTGGGCTGAGAGTGGCTCCCAGGGAGAGATGACCAAAAGGAGCACCTTGACAAAGTCCTGCAGGGCTTAAGTCACAGTGAGGAGGTGGCTGAGATCCCCAGGTCCCCAAGGGTTCTGTTAGCCCCTCTGTAGATTCAGGCAGTGGGCCATGCATATTTGGGGGATGTTGGCTCTGCTGGACATGAGATGATGATTTGGGACAGCACCCCCTTTCTGGGGAACACAACTGTGGGAGGGGACATGAGTTCTGTGCTTTGTGCTAAGCCTCCCACTAAGAAGCCAGCCAGAAAGAGGGGGCTCTTTTTGTAACCTGATGTTTAAGAAAGACCATTTTGCCTTAGTGACAAAAACGTGGGCTGGACAGGATAGGAAATAGGTGACCCCCACCCAGGCCGGGAAGGAGACCGAAAGCAATGATGCAGGGGGGACTCTTACCCCACCCCACACATCCTAAGAGCCTACCTCTTCCCCAGGTGCCAACGCCCATCACTGAGATGGAGATCTCTGTCAAAAGGGTAAGGGTGGCTGCCCCCTCTCCAATGTCTCCATCTTCTTGCCCCACCTGCAGCCCCTTGAGCACTGCTATAGTGTGCTGGAGAACTGTGTGGGCAGCCTGGTGAGGTCTTGCAACAAGGGCCTAACCGGCTGAGAGCTAGGATTCACATTGTGTGAAACAGTGGGCAGTGTGAGCATGCTGAGTAAGCAAGATAAGGACAGAGCTGCAGAGTTTAGTTCTTTTCTTTTTTTTAGAGAAAACAAAACAAAATGTAGAAATAATACAGAATTTCAAAAAAAGTAAGAAATCACTAGTTGATAACTTACATATTATTATCTTAGAAGTAGTTGCTCAAGTCACAAAATCAAAGCATAAAAAGTAGACAATCAAACAATGACAGTACGAACCATTCTGTTTGATGAACTAACCAAAACCAAGTCTAGTTCTTGAGGGAGGTAAGATGTGCTTGGAAACTAAAATCCAGATTTTAGGTCAAACAAGAGAGCCACTTTTAGAAGTCTGCTGTGTGCCATTTTGCAACTTGCAAATATCGTACCTGTTCCTGATGGTAAATTCCAACTTTCTCACACATCTCGGATTGCTTAAAGTAACATATATCTCTAGAGTTAGAGGTCAGTCCAGTAGGCTAGTAGGGCAGAGGGCAAAGGCCATCAGCAGGGAGGCCTGGAAACGTGTCTTAGACAGAAGATCCTGGACCACCCTAGCCCATCCACATCCTACCACAGGATCTGCTATAGGTGGGCGATGAACATCTTTGTGAATAAACCCAGGAAACTCTGGAAGGCTTCTTGGACATGGCAGAGTCCCAGGAAACCCGTGGGTCTGAGCACCTAACTGCTCCTCAGTAAAGGCCAGGATCCCAATGCTTGTGTTCCTCCCCAGCAAATGCTGTATGTGGGTTCTCTGCTGGGTGTGGCCCAGATGCGGCTGCACCAGTGTGAGGCCTATGGCAGTGCCTGTGCCGAGTGCTGTCTGGCTCGGGACCCTTACTGTGCCTGGGATGGTGTCTCCTGCACCCGATACCGCCCCAGCCTGGGCAAGCGCCGGTTCCGTCGGCAGGACATCCGGCATGGCAACCCTGCTGTACAGTGCCTGGGTGAGAGGCAGGATGGTGAGTGGGTCTCTGCTTATCCTGTGGCCTGGGCACCCTCCCTGTGAAGCACTGCCTCAGACTGATCCTGTGTAACGTTTTAGCTGCGCACCTACGATCAGTACATGTTCAGGGTCCCGGGATGCAGTGTGGGCTCGGGGATGGACAGATACGTAGGTCCTCATCCTACTAGTGAGCTATGGGAGTCAATAATTCCCATGTTGATCCAATCTGGGCCTCTCTGCAGAGGAGACTCCAGGATTGGTGGCCAACACGGTCTATGGCACGGAGCACAACAGCACCTTCCTGGAGTGCCTGCCCAAATCTCCCCGGGCTGTCGTGCGCTGGTTCTTGCAGAGGTCAGAGGATGAGGGGCCTGACCAGGTAAGGGAGGATCCTACCTCCAACCCTCACCTCCTACCCCGAACCTCAAGCCCTCAACCTGAGGAAGGGCTCTGAGGAAAGATAAATCTGCTAAAATCAGTCTAAGAAAGTTGGGTATAAGGTTCCTGGAGTGCCTAGGAAGAGGTGTCTCTATTTCTGTCTCTGGGTATGTTACAGTTGACTGGGACTTTCCCAGTTTAAGAAGTGGTAACAGAGATGGAAGAGAGTCCAGAAGTCCCTCATGCTTACACTTGTGGTCACCTTGGAAGGGTCTCTTCCCCAGGGCTTCTTGGTCCTTTTTTGTCCCAGGCCTGAGTCTCTGATTGCTGGATCTTGTCCCACCTCCATACTTCTCTCAGCTCTGTAATTTCTTCTTGGAGAGCAGCTATTTGCCCAGGCCCTGTCCTCCCATCCAGAAGAATCTGACATCCCTCCCCCATCCTCTCATCCCCCAGATGGCTTCAGTCTGGGACTTGAGGCTGGGTATGGGCTCGACAGGGTGAAGAACCATTCTCCCACAGGGAAGCAGAGCGGGAAGGGGAGGGGGTGTTGATTACAGGAGGGGCTCCCCAGCAGCTTGGGAACTTGGGAAGGCCAGCCTTGGGCCAGCTGTTGGGCTGGGCACTAAGGAGACTCCCAGGGATAGAAGTGAGTAACAACATGAAATTGCGCAACGCTAACAGCCCAAGCAATCTCCTTCAACACACAGGCAAACTAAAGCTCAGACAGGGTTCAGAGACACAGACTGGGTCCGATCCACCCTCCCTCCTCCACTGAAGTGGGCACTTACCAACCTGAGATGGGACTGTAGGCCATACCCTGGAGAAGACAGGGAATCCATCTGGTCATGGATGTGTAAAAGCCTGCAGATACCTTGTGACCCCTCTGCTTCCTAGAAATGTGTGCTGGGCTCTCTGAAGCCAAGATTTGCTCGTCAGGGTTCTAACCAGGGGCACATTAGTCATTTAAAAAATTTTTTGGGGAGGGACCAGAAATCAAACTCAGGACCTTGTGCTTGCCAGGCAGGTGTTGTGCCATTGAGCTGAATCCCTTGCCCCTTAGTCATTTAAATTTTTGAGATGCATTTGCAGCCCCTTTCCCAGGTTATGGAAGGTGAAGTCCTGCCTGTAGTTAGCTCACTGTTGGGGTCTGGGCGCCCTGGGAAGGGGAGAAAGGCAAGGGAAAGTACCCAAGCACTGAGTCCTGAAGATAGCAAGTTTGGAAAAGTAGGGGCGAAGGAGCTGATTGGCAGAGGTCCTGTCCCTCCTCGCATCCCCTGTGCCTTCTGCCCACTTATCAGGTGAAGACTGATGAGCGAGTCTTGCAAACAGAGCAGGGGCTGCTGTTCCGCAGACTCAGCCGCCTCGATGCTGGAACCTACACCTGCACGACACTGGAGCACGGCTTCTCCCAGACTGTGCTCCGCCTGGCTCTGGAGGTGATTGGGGCTGCACAGCTGGATCGTCTGTTCCCGGGAAAGCCGAGACTGGAGGAACGCCCAGCCCAGAGAGGCCTGACCTCTGCCCTCCCCAAGGGGTGGTATAAAGACGTCCTGCAGCTCACTGGCTTTGCCCATCTGCCGCAGGTGGATGAGTACTGTGAGCGTGTATGGTGCAGAGGCATTGGGGAGCGTTCAGGCTCTTTCCAAAGCCAGGGGAAACAGGCCAAGGGCAAAAATTGGGCAGGGCTGGTGCTGGGCAAGAAGGTAAAGAGTCGGGGCCAGGCTGAGCGCAATCGGACACCTCGGGAGGTGGAGGCCACATAGAGGAGGGCCATGGAGAGGGGGGTGGTCCGGATGGGCTGGGAAACCCAGCAGTAACCTCCAGTATCTCTCACCCCTCCATCTATGGCAGAGGGAACCAGGTTGCCTGATTGCCTCTTAGGGACTCACAGGAAAGACTGGTGGCCCAAGTGAAGGGCCCTATGCCTGAGGCCTGTTTCCTGCCCCTCTTTGTGTTCTCAGTCTCAGACTGAAGCTGGTACACTCAGGCCCCTGGCAGCCCCGAGGGAGCTGCCATTTGTTCTCAGAGTTGGCCTGGCTTCCGGAGCGCATTTCTAGTGGTGCCCAAGGCAAGAGGGTAGGGTGGTTCTTTTCCAGCCTGCAGAACAATGGGCATTCTAAGTAACCCTCAGAGTGGGTATGTGAGTAGCTCAAAGGAAGTGTCTGGGCAAGGGGACTCAGGCAATCTGAGGAATGTCAAAGTAGCCTCTTAAGGTAGAACCTATTAAGAAAAGAGTTAGGGAGGTGCTGAGAAAGTAGCGCAGTGGTACCCTGCCCGTCCCCATCATGCCGTGATGTGTTGGTGGGTCCCTGCCGCAGCCTAATACAGCTTCAGCATCTCAGCATTGCAGAAGGGGCTGCTGGTTATCTGGGAGTGGCCAGGGCCTCCGATCTTACTTTATAAACCAGAGAGAGGCGTCTCACGGCCTAAGCCACCTTCCTCAGGCCACAAACTGTCAGGCCAGGTTTGTTGGGATGCCCATACCTCCTGACGGATTCACCCCCAACCCCCTTGCCATTAGGTTCCCATGCTGAGGAGGAGGGAGAGGAATAGCATGTAGGGCAGTGATGTGGAACCTTTCAGAGCTTTCAATGATAACAACAGCCCGCTACAGCACCCATGCCATAGGCTCACCACCACTGATCTAGGAAATATCAGCCCTTGTCTTTGTGACGGGGAGATGGGGAGAAGGGAGCTGGAGAAGTTAGGAGTGGGAGGAGAGGGCTATCTTTCCAGGGCTACGCAGGCACGCCAGACTTGGGAGGGTAGGAATGTGGAGACTCTGCGAGCTGCAGCTGATGATCAATACTGGAATCAGGACTTTTTCCAGGACCACAGAGAATTGAGAAGCTGTGGACACGGAGGGAGGGTGAAAGGCCCTCAGAATGGACTAAAAATCTAGAAGCAAATGTGTTCAAGAACTTAAGATGATATTATTTAATTCAGGGGCTATTAGGAAAGCCAGATGTTCCCCAGAGTCTGTATTTCCTGCTAAACAAGGCATGGATAGTGTATTTTGAAGTCTTGCTTGCCTGCCTTCCTTCGTTCCTTTTCTGGTGCTGGAGAAGGAACCCAGGGCCTTGTGCATGCTAAACAAGCATTCAACCTCTGATCTTCACCCTCAGCCCCCCCACTTTCTTTTTTTAAGGGGGGAAATGTAGAGAAAAACATGCTGGTTTGTGGTAACAAGGCTCACATGAGAAGGTCTCTTTTTGTCAACAACAGTTTCTCAGGCTAGGAAGCACAGGGCAGGAGGAGGACAACTAAATTAAAATGTGTTTCCAGTCTGTACATGAACAAGTTAGTGACCCACAAAACTGATTGGGCAAGAGCTCAAGAGTGCCTCCTTTAAAAAAACCAAAATAAAGAAAGGGATAGGGATCAAATGTGGGTTTCCTGTCCCACTGAGACTCCGACTCCCATCCTGACACTGCCAGTGTGCTGGCATCTGAAACAGTGTCTGCTTCTCCCCTTTACTGGGAGGCAAGTGAACTGATGCACTGAAATGAACTATCCACAACTGGAGGCTTCTCCCTCCTGGAAGTGCTGTCTATTGGGATATTAGCTGGTGAACGCAGAAGAAATGAACAGGAAGGGGGTGTGTGACTGGAGGAAGGAAGGGAAGGGGAGACAGGGCTGATTCGAGAGGTGGAGGACAAAGTACAGAACCCCAGAAAAGGGTGTTGGAGCTGTAGCCTGCTCGGCCCCTCTACCCTGGGAAATCTAGAAAAACACAACTGAGGCCTTGGTGACCTTTGAGCAGAGCACAGGCTTGACAGGCTTCAGGCCGAGTCGTTTGGGGAGATGACCCTGGAGACAGAGAGAAGGAGCACAAGATCCTGAAGGACACACACCTGCTCTTGGAAAAATATGGACAACTTCTATTAACTGCTGTGCTTCTCACGGTACTGTGTGTCCTTAACTTGGAAATGTTCTCTATGTGTGACTTTTATGTTTGTGTTTATATGTCAAGATGGGCCTTGTGATTTCTCTGTCTTCAGAGTATACTTCTTGTAATTGCTATTGCTATTTTTTATTGTGATAACTGTCCTTGAGCTCTGGCAACTACAAGGAAAGGAAGTTAATATTTATATCACATAATTATATCATTATTGTATCTTTGTATTTCTGGACTAAATTGACTGTTTCCATGATCTGGAAAGGGAGTGCCCACCTTGTTTCTTCTGGGAGGGGTGTCACACTGGATGGTACTTTCCATCAGGGAGGGAAATGGGTATGGGGGGGGGAGTCAGAGGGCTTTGGCTATGAAGCTGAGATTGCTCATTAAAATAGAAAAACCCTGTCCTGAGGGCTTGTAAAGCTGACCTTTTTGGAACTTCAAGAGGATCTTGAAGAAGGAAAAAAAAAAGCCCTGGCAGAGGGCAGCTAGCCACATAAGCAGCTGTGTTCCTTTTCACAACACTTGACATTTGTAATAGAGACACTTAGCCTGGTGCAGTCTGCATCCCAAGCCACATACCAATGTATATTAAGGCCGCCGACTTCATATCTGGGCTGTGCTGTGCTGTGGGGGCTGCGTATTCTGGAGAGGAGAGGAGAGGCAGCCTTAAGAATCTGACCTATTCGGCATGCTGCTGCTTTCTTTGACAATGCCTCCTGCTCAAGGAGCAGGCTCCACAGAGCTAAAGGGAGATGGAGACGCCATAGACGAGAGGGACAGATACCACTTGCCTCCAGGGAGGCTGCCCTGGGCCTCTTGCTCCGATGGGCATCTTCATCCACACTGCAGCCTACGGGACTTAATAGTTCTGTCACTGGTCCCATCTTATAGCCTGGCTCTGGAGCTGGACATCTGCTTTTGTATCCTACCTTCTTCATAGACATCTAGGCCTGATAAAACCTAGAGCCCTGTTGGCTTTACTCCGAGCCATTGTCGCCTCTCACTGAGATGTCATCAGAACACCTACTGGGCACTGATCTGGCAGAGTATGCAAATATGGCCCCCAAGACCCCCTTTTCCCTAGGGCAGTCCAGTGCCTCTGTTTCCAGTTGTCATTGTCTTACCATGCTCTAAAAACCCCTCCAGCCCAGATGTCTCCGTGGCCCCCCACCCCTCTCACTTCCCTTCTTGACTATTTCCTGCTCCAGCAGTCTCCCCCGCTATCTTCCTCTCACAGCTTTTCCCCATAAGTCTCACACTTCCCCTGGTTTCTGGGCCTGGGTTTCATGGGCCTTGGTTCCAAAACAGGTTTAGAGCTGGAAAGGGTTTAGAGTTTAAAAGACAATTTGAATGTTTTCAAAATGGAATGTATGAAATGGTAATCCCTGGAGATCCATCACACTCTCATGGTTTCTGTATCAAATTAGAGAATTTTTGTCCACTTGGCCCCCACAGAGCTGTCTGTGGCCTGCTTGCCTGCCCTATGAAGGTCCTGAGAAGTCCTGTGATGGTCTCTCTCATCTATAAGACTGCTGTGTGCTCTGTGAGTCTCCAAAAACATTTAGTTCTCTCCTTTTTTCCATGGAGAAGCTAGCACCTTGTATTTCTAATGTTTTGAATGGTACTTTGGAAAAATGCTGTCTAGAGTCTCTTTCTTCACACGTGAAGTTCCTTTGTTAATCTCTGCCTCCTAAGCCTGTAAACTCTGGATTCTGCAGCCTCCCATGTGCTCACATCTTGGTTTCCTATGGCCTTCACCAGTGTAGATCCTGCTACCCCAGGGCCTGGACTGCCAACCCACCAGTCTGCTGACATGTGGCCCTAGACACTGCCTGGCCTCTGGCTCCCGTCCTCTTACATCCAGCTTGCCTGCTCAACCTCCTCTTTGGTCCCTCTTGTGTTTGGCATGGTCCTTTATGGGAGCTAGGAAACATCCCAAGCTAGTGGCTGTCCTGCAGTCCAAAAGGGGGATTTCTCCAGAAGGGTAAGGGAAGAAAACTGCCTTTATACTTCCTCAAATGGCTTTTCTGCTTCTTTCATTTAGCTAGGCTTGGGTTAAGTCACTGCATTCACTGGGGGGAGTGGGCATATAGCAGCCTCCAGGAGCCTGGCCTGTCTCCAGTCAAGCTGTTCTCTTTACCCAGCAGAGGTACTGGCTGTGGCTCCAGCCAGCTGGGCTCCAGAGGACCAGCTCCCATGCCTCTGCCAGCCCAGCAAATGGAGACTTCTCTGGCCACCACATCTTTTTAGGACTAGTTGCTCAGAAATAGTCCAATTTCTGGGTTAAAAACCCAACCTGACTTCATCCCAGTCCTGAGCTGCAGAGGATTCCATAAGGAGAAAGTTCAACACAGACAAAGAACAAATTCCTAGGGTTGTGTCAGATTATAAACTTGGAGAGAAACTCCAAGTAGGCAGGGCTAGATTTGGACACAGTGTTGGATAAGGGGCTTAGGTCTGTTGGGCCTCCACCCTGGTTTCTCTTCCGGACTTACCCACACCCTACGCATACGGGAGATGAGGAAGGCAGTTGTGGCCCCGTGCCCACTTTCCACTGCCCAGCCCCCACTCATCTTTGCCATGCAAGGACCCTGTTTCTTAGAGGCTACATCCTAGTGAGGCCTTTCACTTTCTCTTGGCTTCTTAGTTGAACCTTTGAAAAAGTTTTTCTACTCTGGGATAGGAACTACTACAAAGGGTGCAGGGTGGCCTTGTAATAGACGCTGGACTATCATCCCCTTGTCAGGCCTTCTGCAATCAGGTAAGAGCTTGCATTCACAGATTTTGCTGATGTGAAGATTCAGGTGACCAATCTTTCCTCCAGGGAAGAAGATGCCCAGAGTGTACCCTAATCCACCAAAGGTGCCTGTTTCATTGCTCTGAGTATCCCACTGGGAGGAGAAGGGCAGCTAGGCAGACAGCTATGGGATGATAGGATCCCTGAATCAACAGTGGCCTGGAACAGATTCCTGGAACATACTGTGGACATGTGCTGCCCATGTTGGCCGGTTGGGAGGGCAAGGTAGGCTTTCCTCTCACAGATAAAGGTATGTAAGAATGATGTCTCAGACTAGCAGCTTGCTTTATGGACATGATCTCACCCAGTCACTCCACACCACCTCCGCCTGGCTGCCCCAGTTGATAAGAATCTGGTGCTATTTCCTGTAGTCCAAGGGTCTCAGACAATGGTGTGACCGGCTGGCCCCACTGGAAAGGACATTGTTTAGGGAAGAAAAAACACCCAGCACAAAGCCAGGGCAGGACTTGTCTAAATGTAAGTTTCTGTTTACAAATCCATGATTTCCAACAGTGGAACACAATGGGGAATTGTTTTGGTGAGTCTAGTGTCTCCTCCAGTATGGTTCTGTCTGGCTTTGATGCCCTAGCTACTCTGAGAAGGATGATCATGGATCCTGCAGATGCCTTCCTGTTTATCAGGGATGTGTTCAGGACAGGGTCAAGAAATCAGTTACACCAAAGACAAAGGGGGAAGGTTCCCAGGTCTCACGCCTTTTGTCTGGGCCTCATGCTGACTCACTGCTTAGAGACCCAGGATTAGGGGAGCTTGCAAGGGGAAAGTAAGGGCACTTTTTTTTTTTTAGTAAGGGCACTTTTTGTGTGTGTATGTGTGTGTGTGCACGTGAGTGTGTGAAAAGTCACCAACTCCAATTGCCATGTTACTTTTTGGGAAAAATGTACAAAGCTTGAGCCTTTTGCAAATCATTGTATCCCTTTTGGATGGGATTCCCTCTTTTAGTCACTAGGTATATTCTTCACATCTGGGGACCCTCGTGGTGCTGGGTTGCACTTCCAAGCAGCCTAGGAGCTCACAGGGCCCTAACACTGTACACCAGGGACAATGGCCAATAGAAGAGCTATTTGTCTTAGAAATCTCCCCTGGAACCTGGGGTCAGTGTGTGTGTTGTGCACATTATAGGAGGGCTCTAAGAGAAACAGAACTATATTGTATGCCTCCTTTAGTTCTGGCAGTCACTAGTTTTGGTGGGGGTGCAGGTGACGCTAAGAGAGCCCTTTGGGGTCTGGGGAAAGTATTAGGGCAGTCTTATTGGAAGATTTGACCTGTGATGGAATGGCATTAGTAGATTTGATCCTCATCTCTAAACCCAAAAGAAATGTACCTCATGAATAAACTCAACTGAATGTGTTTAGAACAGGTGAGGAGCAATAAGCGCTACACAATCCCAGAACAGAAGTAAAGTTTTCACAGGTCATTCTCACCCTTCCAGACCTAAGGGTTTACAAGCCTCTTTGCCGACTTGCTAACAGTGCCCTCTAGTGTTTGGTATTGGAACAACAGGCTAGTGAGTACAGAGTTTCAACGCATCTGTTGGATGAGCAGCTGTCAAACTGTCTTTGAATATGGTAAATTCTGGGTCGGGCAACAATGAGAGGAAGAAAGAATGGCAAGACAGATAGGTCCTTCCCTGTAAGGGACTTCAATCTAGCAGGGAAGACAAACCTACAATGGTATGATTGCCAGAGAATGACTCAGACTAGCCAGAATAAGCAGAGACCAGGGAGTGCCAGAGATGAAGTGGCCATTATGCAGGGTTCCACAGGCAAGGGAGGAAGTGAGCATTCTTCAGGCCAAGAATGCCAGGCCAAGGGCCTGGTATTTCAGGGGATTCAGGGCAGAATGCCCACAGGGGGGGTGCTGTGGGAGGTACAGCTGTGCAAGGCCCCAGAAGGCCACGGGTGCCAATCTCAGCAAGGCCATCCTGAGAAAAGGGTTAGTGCATTTTGTGGCCCATAGGAAAAGGTGGATGTGTCGGCGAAATGGACACAGGAAACCACACAGAATGAGTACTTTTGCAGCAGTCCCATAAGGCACAAGAGTCTAAGATGGGTGCTGTCAGGAGGAAGGAGAGGGAGGCACATGGCCACGCTGACAAGAAAGAGGGGGACTGAGCAGAGAAGAAAGCAGAAGGGAGCTCTGAGGCTCTGGCTTTAGTGTATTGTTCCATCAAAGGTAAAAATTTAGAGGAAGGGAAGCAGCTGCTCTGGGAAATTTTTATTTAACATTTATTTCTATCTTGCCCAAGTGAGCTATTCTGGGTCCTAAGCTATGAAATATTCATCTTAATAGACACATCCATTATGAAAACAGGTGTTTAAAACACATAAGATGAGCTTGGGGCCAGAAAATGAGGAAGTGCTAAAAAATAACCCCACAAAATTACAGGAATGTGTGAGAAAGAAAGAGGATCACACAGCTAGAACAATCTGAACAACAAAGTAAACATTTTGATATATTTGGTGTTGAACTGAAACTCAAAGTGTTACATATATGCCATATGTATGTGGTGTGTTCTATACATGTGATAAACATTCGTGTGTATTATATATATGTGATATATATATATATCTCCATACTAATATGAACAAATTATTGAATAAATAAGTGGCAAGGAACAGGTAAACATCCCATACGGAAGAATTCCAAGTAATTGAGGTTAACAACCCATCCTCAGTGCAGAGGGTACAGAGTGCCTCATTCTGTAACTGTGGGACACAGATAGTCAATCGTTCCAAAAAGTGCAAAGGGGAGAAACAATAACTTTACGGTGGAGAGACCTGAAAAACTCCTGCAGCCAGGTTACCAAAGCTAATATAAGTAGTCTTAAGTCACGTTCATAGTATGTAACTTGGACGTGATAAAAATAGTGCTGTGCTTCTGCGGTCTTCCTCTCCAAAACCCATAATCCCAGGCTAATCAGGAGGAAGCCATCAGACAAATCCCACCCCAGGATCACTCTGTAAGATACATGGTAACTATAGGAAAGTCTGATAAACTCTCACAACCAAGAAGAACCTAAAGAGATAGTATGATTCAGTGCAAGTAGTATCCTTTTTGGGATCCTGGAACAGAAAAAACCTAGGCAAAAACCAAAAATCTGAATAAAGTATGAACTTTAGTTAATATATCACCATTCATTTAGTTATATATCACCATTCATTAGTTATGACAAATTTGTCCAGTAATGTAGGATATTAATAATAGGGGAAACTGGGCTTAGGGTAAATGCAGACTCTATCTTCACAATTTTTTCTGTATAACTATCCTGAAATTAAAAGTGTATTTAGGAAAAATTCAGTTATTTAATGTGAAATAGTTGATTAGACCCACAGGAAGAACAGAATATTTCAAAGTTGGACTTTCTGACAAAAATGGGGCTGGATATGGTATAAATAGAAAGTGAAATTATAAAGAAGAGATGGTTAATGGGTCTGAGTGTGTACACACCAGCACAATGCTGACTGCACACAGAGCCAGCTGCACACAGGGTAGAGCAGCTGAGCGTCTGGGTGAGGAAAGCCTTCCTCATGCCTGCCACAGCTCTGCCTCCCGCCACAGGACCTGGAGATGAGAGGACACTTCTAGGGGCCATTATTTTTGAGCAAGAGTGTTTCTCGCAATTGAAAATATACAAATGAGCTCCTATAAAGAGGAAGATACTACCACAGATCTCTAAGACTGTGCCTGGTCACTCCAATTATAGCAACTGTAGGTTAAGAAACTAGTCTGTGTTAACCTAGGAAGAGTTTTAAGTTGTGAATGACAACTATAGGAGTTACATCTATAGAATGGGTAAAATAGTGTTTTTGAAATGAAAATTCAGAATTAAAAACTTCTCGTCACTTGTGGGCCTCTGACAAAATCTTGGATGCTCAGGTAGGAACCATAACATTAAATGATCAAATCTATGAGGCAGAACATGAAGAAAGGGAGTATAAGACAGTTGTGGTGAAACATACTTGGGATCCCAGCACTGAGAGGCTGAAGCAGGATGATTACAAGTTTGAGCCCAGCCTGGGCAGGGTTGCATCATGAAACCCTGACTCAAAAAAAAAAGGAATAGGAATATGGGGTGTTGCTTAGTGCAAAGGCCCTAGGTCCAATACACACATGTAAAAAAAAGACAAAGAGAGAAGAAAGATAAAAAGAGAGAAGAAAAGGAGAAAGAAAGAAAAGCAAACCAAACAAACCAGCCAGAGCCAGGTATGATGGCGTATGTCTGTAACCCAGCACTCAAGAGGCTGAGGCAGGAGGATCGCTGGAGTTTGAGACTAGCCTGGGCTACATAAAGAGTTCAAGGCCAGCCTTAATTATGTAGTATGGCTCTGCTTCAAAAAATGAAACAAAACTACCTCCCCCAAAAAAGCCAAAATCAAACCAAAACAACCAAACAAACAAACAAACAAACCAGAAAGAAAAATAAAGCCGACCGAAAATGGCAGCTATGCAGGAGCTGCAGGTGCAGCCAGGTCAGGGTAGGCTCCAGGAGGCAGGCAGGTCTTCCAAATAAGTCCAGGGGACAGTGCTCTATTTTCTAGCCCGTGAGAAATTAGCAAAACACAGCAGGTAAGACACAGTTACTAATTTCAGGGGGAAAAACATCTTACAACAATAGAAAAGTAAAGATAATGTACTATCTGGCTTAATGGCAAACACATAATAATGTAAATGATGCAAGTTAACAAAAAATGTAATGCAACTATTTAAGATGAGAATGAAAGTGGGAAGGTTCTAAAGATGCTAAATCTTTTATGTAACACAGTAAGACTAATAAATCAAGAAACCACTGAAATTATGGAGAATAGTTGCCTTGGGGAATAGGACTAGAAATAGAGGCAAGTTGAGACTGCTTTTCATTATAATCCTGTTAGTACTATTAGACTTTATTTTTTTTGTCTTTTTGTTTTTATCGGTACCACGGATCGAACTCACAACTGCCTGCTTGCCAAGCAGGCGCTTATGCTGCTGAGCTAAACAAGCCCCAGTACTATTCGATTTTAAACATGTTTCCTTTGGTGTGAACAGTTAGCAGAGCCCTACATGTTAAGCATGTGCTCTGCCATTGAGTCCCATATTAGACTGAATTGTCCATATTAGAGTTTTTGAGTTTATATTAGTTTGGGCTGGCCATGCAGCTCAGTGATGGAGTCCTAGGCTAGCATGTACAGGCCCCAAGTTCGATCCCCAGTACCACAAAAACATACAAAAGTCTGTATTACTTTGATAGAAGCAGACTTCCACTATCCATCTGAGTGCAAGTGAATCTGGTCAAATTTGAAGGCAATCACTGTATACAACTTGGATGTAAGTCCAGGGAATTGAGCAGTACTTGGAATGAGAATGATCTAACCATTAGATTATTCAGAAAACCCTGACTCAGAAAAGCCAGCCAGAGCTGGGTATGATGACATAGACCCGAAATCCCAGCACTCAGGAGGTTGAGGTAGAAGGTTCTCCAGAGTTTGAGACTATCCTGGGCTACACACAGTTCAAACCCAGGAAAGGTGGCGTACTCCTGTAATCCCAGCACTCAGGGGAGGCTGAGGCAGGAGGATCATTGCAAGTTTGAGACTAGCCTGGGCGACAAAGTGAGGTCAAGGCCAGCTGAACTGCATAGAGAGACCCTGTCTCAAGAAAAAAAAAAAAATCAAGGCCAACCTCAATTATGTACCAAGAGCCTGCCTCAAAAAACAATCTCAGTAACATGCTGAGAAGTATCTGGTAATACTTCTGAGTTTTCTCCACGCATCCAAATCCCATGAAATCATTAAAAACATACAGATATAAGATACAGCCTATTCAATTTCTCTCTAGACTTCCTGCCAGATTCTCATCCTAGCTGCCTAATGTGAATGCTCTGGCATGCAAATCTGTAATTCTACTCTGAACAGAAATGCTCAGGCTACCAGGCAACCAAAGTTTGAGTGGTTTACTCATGCTAAAGAGGTGTTAGTTACAAAGGCCTAGAGTGTGTGGGACGGTCCCTTCTGCTTCACAGGGGTAGGACCTGGCAACACAGGCCTTGCTCAGGCTGCTGTAGCAGCTGTACTGGCTCACCTCCCAGAAGAAAACCTGTGCACTTACTGTCCCTGGGATGTCAGGTTTCCTGCAAACTGAATTCCTCTACAGAGATGGAGAAATAACGTCTCTGTTCTCCGTGAATAGATTAATTTACTGCATTTGTGAATTAGAAGCATGAGTTCTCTTATTACCTCATCTTGCCCTCCAGATTCCTTAGTATGGGTCGACAAATTCCAGAGTGAATTTATACGGAGACATTAGTGGAGAGAAAACCTTTATTTGGTAATAATAAACATGAGTGAAGTAAGAAGAGGAATGTGAGAACTAGATTAAGGTGGAAAAATCTGGGTGGAAGAAGGGGAGAAGAACACATTGGGGAGAAAGAGCAGAGGCACTCTCATAGCCACGAACATGCTCGACAGCTGGCATCTGGACTCTGCGAGCTCTTCACGCTCCCCTGGGACTTCTTTTTCTTGGCTATCTCAGTGCTGGCCCCTTTTCCTGGTCTCACTGGCCCAAAGTGCTCCTCCCCTCAAACCTGATGGAGAAGTGCTGCATTACACCCAATACATGCTTGGTAGAAATTATTTAGAAGCTGTTAATTGGACTTTTTGCAGCTGTTAGTGATTCTGACACACTTAAGACTATCAGGAATGGCCACTTCTGCTACCAGAGGACTCTGGCTTTTCTAATAAGAAGTTCTTGACCATCTGGTCCAAGAAGGGCCTGGATTCTCTACCAGGTTGGTGTCTCTGCAGAAATGCTCCTGGGGGTTTAAGGTGCTGCTGCAGGAGGGGATGTCACTTGAATTTTCAGATATGTAGTCTGGTGAAAAAAGGTGGGGAAGGAAACACAACCCTTTGTTTGGTTCAGGTGCAGGTCTGTAGCCCCTCCCTCACCACTTTCCTTCCAAAGATAGTCTTCGCTACAAGTTCCCTTTTGGTGGCATGTCTTCTTCCATTCTTAGGCACCACAGGCCCTAACCCCACCCTAGTTCGTAGACCAGGCCGTTCTTCCAGTCCCACCTGTGGGTGAAGCAGAAGATGAACACTCTTCACACTCCCATCTCTTGCTGTTGGATCTAAGAAAGGAGCAGTCCCTGTGGGTTCCGTGGGATCCACATGTAGCACACAGAATGAGGCGCCACCTCCTACAGAAGATCCAAAGAAGGACATAGGTACAAACAGAACAAACTGTCTCTCTGAGGTGTCTGCTATGGGCCAGTCTCATCTATGGTGAGGGCTTCCCAGGCAGTTTTTACTATATATTTTACCCATCACGGATATGTAGTTTACAGAGACTGACTGCTGATCCCAGGAGCCTGCAGGCAGGTACAGCCCCTCACAAAGTGGATGTGATTTTGTTTTGTACTAGGGAGCTTGCACAGACAGGTACTTATGCCACTGAGCCATATCCCCGGCACAAGGTGAATCTGGAAAGGAATCAACCCTAAGTATCTCTCCACTGTGTACAAGAAGCAGCACACCGTGGAGATCTGTCCACTTGCAAATGGACAAGTAAGGGTTGGTCAAGAATGGAACTTAGCACTGGGTATGGTAGTGCATGGCTATAATCCCAGCTACTCAGGAGACTGAGACAAGTGCATTGCAAATTTGAGAGCAGCCTGGGCAACTTAGTAACACCCTGTTTCAAAATACAAATTTTTGGAGATCTGGTCATGGTGGGACTCAGGCAGCTTATTCACCCATCCTCTTGGTAAGTGCCTGTGGCAAGGGCCAGGAGGAGAACTATTACCTGTGAGCCTACTGCCACGAGGGCAGAAAATCAAACAGGCCCCCCCCCCCGCCCCAGCTACTGGGGATAGATGTCTCAGCATCTTTTGGGAGGATGACCATATGCAGTATTGCAAATATGGGGGATTTCCTTCTATCTTCTGTTTGAAGGCAAAGGTTGTTTTCACTGTTTTGTTTCTTTTGCTCTATTCAGTATTCTCAATTGGTTTTATAATGTTTTTATTTTTGGTTTGATTTTGCTATACCTAACTGACTGGACAACTATTGTGAAGTTAAAGAGATGTACTATAGTACCTATTACTACTATCCCAGTATCCTACTGTGAAATCCTATACCAGTTTCACTGCATTGTCTCAATTGGCTTTGTTCTTTCTTGTGCTGTTGCATTTTTACTACTTTCAAAATAAAATTTAAAAAAAATACAAAATTTTTACAAAGGGCTGGAGATATAGTTTAGTGGCAGAACACTTTGCTTGGCACACACAAGGCCCTGGGTTCAAGCCCAAATACCACTCCCCGCGCCCCATAAATGAAAGGAATTTAGAACTTGTGTTCACCCAGAGGTCTGCAAACAAGAATGAACTTCTTTCTCCTAATAACTGTGCCAAAGCCTAACTCTCAATACCATGAAGAGCTCTTTCTATCCAGAAACTTTTCCCTACCCTTCATCCTCAAAGTTGTCTCTGCCTTGCTCGTACAAACAGGTGGGGGCATCACAATGCTGATAGCGCTGGTACAACTCTGAGAAAGCCCCTGGCTCGAGTTCCCAGGCAGCATCTCTACAGTGGGAGAAGAAACAATGAATAAGGGACACAATTAGCTGGTGAAGCTTTTATCCACCAGATAAAAGCACAGAAAGAGTTACACGGTCTGCCTGAGCACTTCCAGGTCTGACCTTGAGAGCAGCCTCGTTGTGTGAGTGTGTGGAAGCTTGGTGCCTGGAACATGGGGATTCTGTGCTTCTTCCTTGGAATTCAAGAACCCTGCCTCCCATGGAACGCTGAGTCCCCAAGTGCCATTTTCAGAAATGCTTCCAGCGGATTTCTTTTCTTTTGGTAAAAAGCACTTCCTTTGCTGCTTCTTTTTTTCACTGCACATCAGTGTTCTGGCTCTTCTCATTTTCCAAACTATCCTCCCACTCAACCTCCTCTTTGAAATCCAGGCAACCCACTCTGTTTCAATTCCTGCTTTACAATTTCACTACCTGTCTGGAATATGAATTCCCATTCTTAGCATTTCTTGAGGAAATTCTTCTCGATTGTTACACTGGGGACATTTGAAGAAATGCTTTGCTGATGTGTGGGCATATTTCTGTAAGAGAAATGCAGAAAAGCACTGTATTTGGAAAAGACGTTCTGACCACTTTCTTTCTACCCATGGGGCACAACCAAAGGAGCTGGGTAGGCTAGGATGTGGAATGAAAATACAGGATTTAGGCCTGGCCCCAAATACACATGAAAGAATTCTCAAGAGTGACTCAGCTGTCATCTATGGTTATGGAGCTTGGCGGTAGGGGTCAGGTACCTGGACACATACCCTTTTCTTTCTTCCCAGTAATAAGGTTGGTTGTAAGGGTGCCGGACTCATTTGGGGATGAGTCCGTTTACTCTAGCAATCCTGAAGATTTTGCTAAGTATAAATCTTACCATCAATGAAGTCTGATAGGCCAAGGATGGCCACAAGGATGGTGATCAGAAGAAGCCCTCCATATAGACCTCCAGGATGAATATAAAAGCTAAGCTATGCTAGAGCATTCCCACAGTACCCTGAATGCAGGCAGAGAATGAGGCACTGTGGAAGGTCCCCCCAGGGCAGAGAAAGCTCCACCTGAATACACTTGCGGTGGTAGGTAGTTTGACTGCAACAAGGGCTCTGTATGTTCTCAACACTTGATTGGGATAGGTCTTCACAACACAAGACGCAGCTTTCCTCTTCCACTTTCCGCCGTTGGATGTCCTGGGTTGGGCGATGTTTTCCACAGAATGACCTGTTGCAGGGTAAAGGCTTGGTTTCTGGCTTGCCACTGCTGTAGATTCCCAGTCCTACAAGGGGCAATCAGCCATCCAGCCTGTGTTCAGTGAACCTCTACACTCGTAAGGAGGAACAGGGTGAAGAACAGCCACATGCCTTCCATGGCTGCTCTCCCACTAAGCAAGCTCCTGGGACTGTCCCTACATCCTCCCATTCCTGAAAACCCCATTTAGTTCTGAGCAGCTGTCTAAGAACCCGGCTGTTTGTAATTTAAGAAGGGATTAGGAAGCAAGAAGAAACCCTTGTGAAATCTTCAAGTCAAGACACTGTTTCCCATTATTGAAAGGATTCACTGGTGAATCAAAACAGGCCCATGAGAACAGGATTCTGATTTCACTGGCAGCTAAATAACAAGTTGCAAAAGGCCAACTGACTTTCCCCTTCCTCACTCACTTGTACTCTCCAAAAAATTGCGAAAGGCAACCCCTTTCTTGGCCACAAGGCAGATGGAAATTTCTAGTGCACTGATCCTTCTGGCACTCGATAGCAGCTCCCTTTTTCTTGCACACAAAGCAGATCTGTAAATAAGATCCCACACAGTCTCAGTGCCCCAAGTAAGACAAACAAGACACACTGTGATACAGCTTTTATGGAATGAAAATTCTGTGAAGTAGTAGCCATTCCCTTTCCTCAGTCGACTGGAAAGTGCCAGGGCACTCTAAAACTGAGCTTTAAGCAGCATCGAATTCTTTTTTTGTTTTCTTAACCCAAAAGAAAACTGGGACGTAAGAGAAAGACTGGGGCTGATGGGGTAGTTCAGTGGTAGAGTACTTGTATAACATGTGAGAGGTCCTGGCTTCAGTTTCCCTAGCACTGAACAAACAGTCAGAGTCAGAGTTATTTGACTTCTGAACCAGCAACAAGGGATAGACTAGAAACAGGGATTCTGATAGAGATCTAAGAAAAGCTTATCCTGAAGTATCCATTTCTGGGATTCTAACCTTCCTAGAAGCCCGGGCTGCCTCCTTTTTGATGTCTTCAGGCAGGAAGCCATGGAAACCTCTGTTGGACTGGCCCCTCTGAAGCAATTTGCTAGACAGGATCTGGGTAAGCAGAAAAAACCATGCTGTCAATGTTGATAATCAGTGAAACACTGTAGTGGGGTAAGGATGATAGGGCAAGAGAGCTAAGAAGTAAGGATTAGTGGAATATATATACATTTGTAGGATGGTGTGTTTTATGAAGGCTTTCATATTTCATAGCGCAATGTATCGGGTACTCTAAGCACTTTTCAAATATTATATCACTGGAAGCCCCAAGTCCCCTTCTCTACAGGAGACACATGACTTGCTCAAGTCTGCTGAGCTCCAAAACCTGTATTTGATACACCTTTGTGCTAGATCTGCCTCCCATTTACTAATGGCTGCTTTGCTATTGTAGGCTGAATACTTGGGGGAAGCACTTCCTCCGTACTCATCTTATATTCACTTTAGCCCTACAATACAGATGGTATCGTGATTCTTACTGTACAGAGGAGAAGCATGAGGTGGTAAGGGATATGGCAGGGGTCTCATGGCAAGAAAAGAGCTGGCATTCACATCTGGGTCCACAGAACCCAACTTTTACCCCTCCTGGAATATTGCCCTTCAGAGTAAACACAAGAAGGGAAAGAGAATTTTAAAATGTTCTGACTATAATCATTCTGCATTACAGAGGAAAAGGAAATACACTTTTCTTTTAATAACACACTTTAAAAAGACTTTAGCAGAGTCTAGAATGGGAAATCAAGGAAAAAAATTGTTCTATTACATACATGGCAAGAATGTCAGTACCTCCTCCCCACCCTCAAGATTAGGGAAGGCTCCTAAAGATGCTGGAGAGGGTGGTGGACTTCTTGCAGTAGTTACATAAAATGTAGAATGGGAGCTCAGGTTATCTATTTAAAGTCATAGAAAAGATGGTGCTATTGTGTTAGATGGTGCTATTGTGTTAGATACTTGAGGACACTTGGATTACAGCTGTTATATTCTCAATTACAATTAAAACATATACTATATATTTTCACACTAGTATCTCACGGTTCTGTTTTATTTATACTTCTAATTATTATTCACACTTTCTAAAATGAGCATGTTATTGTTATAAACAGAAAGAAATCAATAAATATTAAATAATCTAAGTGTCATTTAATAGAAGTTTGTTTGGCATATTCACATCAAATACCAATTAGTTGTTAAAAATAAAAAACTACAGCTATATATTCTATATGAAAAGATCTCCAAAATATGTGAAATAAAAAGAAAACAAGATATAAAATATTATGTATAGTATGTTTATTTTTAGGTTAAAAATGTGTTTGCTTGTAAGTATACCAGAATTTACTAGACAACAGAAAAATCATAGATTAGTCTTTTCCATGAGCACGGATATAAAAATCAAACAAAATATTCACAAAGTGAATTCAGCTTCACATACCAGGAATTCAACATTAGTTTAACATTAATATTAAAGAATGCAGTTGATATAACAAAGCACATTAACAACAAAATGATGCAGAAAAATCAAGATCTATATAGGACCAGGAAAATGAATCTGACAAAACTCAGTATATGTTCATGATACCGTTAGCAAAATAAAAATAAAAGGCAGCTTCACTTTGATAAAAAAATTTCAGAGGAAAAAAAAACCCTTCAGCCAACATACTATAGGGATGAAAAAACACATGCTGTCCCCTAATGTTGCATCACGCCATTTCCATTGAACACTGTGTGTTAAGGTCCTAGCCTGTACAAGGAAGCAAGAAGACAATGAAAGACAAATATTGGAAAAGAAAAAGCAGAACTGCATTTACACAACGTGACTGTAAACATACGGAATCCTAATGCATTTACAACAAAACAAATACATAAAAACAACTACAGAATTTAATAAGATGCAGGAGGTAAAGCCAACATACAAAACTAAACTTCCATTTCTCTATTCCAGCAATAAATCTGAAAATTAAAATAAAAAAATTATTTACAATAGCATAGCCACAAAGTATTTAGCAGTTCCTTTAACAAGAGATGTATAAGAATTCATTAAAACTGTAAAAGCACTGCTGAAGTAGATTTTAAAAAACCAGAGCTGGGGATATACCTCAGTGGCACAAGTGCCTGCCTGTGAGATTGTGAGTTCGATCTCCAGTACCAAAAAAATAATAAAATTAAATTAAATTTAAAAATTTTAAAAACCCAAGTAAATAAGAAAATTTACCATGTCCAACATTCAGTATTATCTATCAATTTACTCCAAATTGATCTATAAATTCAAGGCAGTCCTGATTATAATTTCAATAGATATTTCTAAAAAGAAAAATTCATAAAATTTATAAAGTAAAAGAAAGAACCCAAATGCCAAAGCAATCTTGGATAACACTCCAAACTTATGTACTTACTGTTGAAACATGATAAAGCCACAACAGTTAAGACATATGGCCTATTGCCAAACACATACAGTTCAGTGGTTATCCAGATCTACAGATTTGTGGTCAATTGACTTTAATAAAGGCATTTAGATAATTCAATGGACAGGTGAAGATTTCTTAGGACATACAAAAAGTACTAACCATAAAAGAACAAAATTAATAAACAGAACTTTGTCAAAATTATGAAGTTGTCCCTACAGGATGAAGAACATGAAAAAGCCACAGACTAGGACACATATTTATAATACATATACCTGAAAAAGAATTTATATTTAGACATGAGCAGCTGCATTCAGGATAGTATGGCCACAGATAAGAATTTGTATTAAGAATAAATTCTAATAACTTCATAATTAGACAAAACAACCAATTTTTTAACAGGACAAAAGTACTTGTTCAGATTATTCACCAAAGAAACTATGTCAGTGGCCAAAAAGCACATGAAGAGAAGCTCAGCATTTTTATTCATCAGAGAAGTACAAGTTAAAACAAGATACCCCCATGCATCCACCAGAATGACAAATGGTAAGGACTGACAACACCGAGCTTTGGCAAGAAAACTGTGTGACTAGCAGCACTCTCGTAAGTCACTTGTGGAAATGTAAACTGGTACAAACTGTCTTGGAAAATGACCTGGCAACTTCACACAGTTAAACATCTAGCATACAACTAGTAATGCTACTCTTATGCATCCATCCAAGAGAAGTGAAAACACATGTTCCCAAAAGACTTGCATGTGCGTGTTCAGAGCAGTTTTATTCACAATGGTCCCCAAATGGGAAACAATTTATATGTCCATCGACAGATGGAGAGATAAGCAAAATGTAATGTACTTCTAATCTCCAAAACACTGTTTTGGGAAGAAAAAGCCAGATAGAAGAGTATAAAGAGTAAATTCAACTTTATGAAAAAAAATAGGCAAAAATAATCTATAAATCATAAAAGTGATTCTATCAGATGTTACTGACTAGAAAGAGGCAGGTCAACTTTCTGGGATAATGGCAATCTTATTGATCAGGAGGGTGGTTATGTGGTGGTACGTGTACATTTATTATGACTCAACAAATGGAAGTTAAAGTTAATACATTTTATGGTACGCAGACTATACCTAATAAATACTGAGAAAAAATAATTAGAAGGATATTCCAAGTTTTGACAGTATTTGTCTCTGGGGAAGAGGCGAAAGATTCAGAATACTGCTTTAGAAAGAGGCTTTTTATTGTACATATTGTACACTGTTGGGATTTTACACTAGGTATATATTTTTAAAAGTAAACTTAAAAAAAGCTATTATAAACCAACTGTTATAAGCCAAGTGCTGGGATTACACATCTATAATCCCAGCACTTGGGAAGCTGAGACAGGAGGATCACTATATTGTTCAAGGCCAGTCTGGACTACAAAGTGAATTCAAGGCCAGCCTGAACTGCACAGTGAAATCCTGTCTCAAGATCAAAATGAAAACAAAACAAAAAACAAAAACAAAAAGCTATTATGAAAACAAATAGGGCTATATAAATCTGAGACTAGAAATAGTCTGTATACTAAAAACTTAAGATAATCAAAGCCAGAGGCCTTATACTCACAAGACAGAAATAATGCACACTAATATTGTCTTTCTGCAGAAATTCTCCTAATTTTTCAGGATCCCCAGGTTCTTGGAGGCATAGTCGGCAAACTAGGAAGGTGAATATTAAGAATTAATTACAGGCTTGGCTCAAGTTGACCTTTAGGAATGGAAGAGGAGTATGAACTAACCATCGAGTACAAGATGTACTTCAGTTTATGAAGGGGTTATGTTCCTTTTTTTTTTTTTTTCATTTTTTCATTTTTATCAGTACCAGGGATCAAACTCACAACCGCTTGCTTGCAAGGCAGGTGCTTATGCCGCTGAGCTAAATCCCCAGCCCCTGGGGTTATGTCCCTTTACAAGTGGAAAATATCAAGTAAAAAATGCATTTAAGCTGGGCATGGTGGCACATACCCATAATCCTGGCACTTGGGAAGCTGAGGCAGGAGATTCACCAAGAAGTCAAAGCCAGCCCAGGCTACACAGTGAGTTCAAGGCCAGCTTGCACTACATAGTAACTAAGACCCTGTCTCAAAACAGCAAACCAACAAACAAAACCAACCCAAATACACTTAACCTACCAAACATTATAGCTTACCACACAGCTCACTGTATAGTATCAGTCACTTTCTTCAGGACTGTGTGGCTGACTGGGAGCTGTGGCTCTTAGCACTGTGAGATAATACCATAACACAGATCACTAGCTTGAGAAAAGACCAAAACTCAAAATACAGTTTCCACCATGAATGCATAGCACTTTTGCACTGATGTAAAGTCAAAGATTTCTAAGTCAAAACTTGTAAGTTAGGAACATCTATATTGGGAAAAAGGTCATTTTGGCAAGCAGGAAGGTTAGGATGAGGTCTTACTTGGCATCAGTTAGGATTTGATATAATTTTGGTCACACTGAAGGAGTTTTGTCTCTTGAACTTTGGTCATGAAAATTTAACATTACAGAACCTGAGGTCTTCAGGATCTTTCAGAATCTAGGAAGGCAGTAGGGCTGGCAGTGAGAGAAGCAAATTTACTGTCCCACACAGGTGGCCTTCTTTGTAGAGGTCTGAAGAGACCACACCTCATCTTTCTTACCTGGCCCTGAAGACGGTTTCCTCTGCTTAACCCTCCTAGTCCTGGCAGATTTTCTACATAAGAAAAAGAAGTGAAAGATGGTCTTTGAGTACCCTATTGAAAATCCTAGAAACATTTTCGTTAAAACATCACTCATGCCAGGGATTTAGCTCAGTGGTGTAAGTGCCTGCCTGGCAAGCACATGGTTGTGAGTTCAAACCCAGGTACCAAAGAGAAAAAAAAAAAAAAAAAACTTCACATATCTGATGAGGACCAAAATATGAGTCTCTTTTAAAAAACTTTATTATTTTACAGTATTGGGGATTGAATCCTGAGATACTTCACCACTGAGCTACAACCCAGTCCTTATTCTGAGATAGGCTGTTCCCAAGTTGTCCACACTGGCTTGAATTTGCCATCCTCAACCTCTCAAGTACTTGGGATTACAGGTGTATGCCACTACTCCCAGCTTCATTTTTTCATTTGAAAAGACAAAACATATCCACTAAATTATCTGAGGATATGGACCAGATTATAACAATCTTTCTGATGCCAGCTGCCTGTATTGACTAACAATGCATGAGCAAACCCCCTTTCAATCCTTTTGCTTTCTTGTGCCAAGTACTCTGAATTTAAGGTGCTACCACCCCTACAATGCTAATGTGATACTGAAGTTGGGTGAGTGAGCATTTTTTTTTTTTTTGTCTTTTTCGTTTTTATCAGTACCAGGGATCGAACTCATGACCGCACACTTGCAAGGAAGGCGCTTATGCTACTGAGCTAAATCCCCAGCCCGAGTGAGCATTTCTTACTGCTAGTACTATCCTTAGCACTTTGCAAAGTGCTAATCAATCTACAGAATAAGCTTAAAAGATGGATACTACTATTATGCACAATCTCCAGGAGAGGAGTTGAGGCATAAGAAAGTGATTTATCCCAGGTCACTTAGCAAGTGGTATAGCCAGGATATTAATTTGCATAGTTCTAGAGCCACCACCTTGCCACTACAGACAGCACTGGCAAGACAGGAAAGGCAGCTTTCAGTGACCACCAGTGCATGCTTTCAGTGTTGAACCCTACCCCGTAAAAACCAGGCCAAATGGAGCAAAAAAGCACAGCATATATCACAAGTCATTGGTCAATTTCTCCCAACTCTCTTCTGACACCTATTCTACCTTAATCTTTGGCATTCTTTCTTCTTTTCTTTTATAGTCTTCATTCGCTGCTGTTTCTCTTTCCTATATTGAATTCTTCTATATTATGATGACAGTACAGGTTCTTCTAGCTATAAACATAAACAGGGCTTGGTCAGCAATTTAATTCTGCATGTGGTTATCAGCTTCCATAGGATCAAGGCAACAGTGCAGCTCACTTTCCGGCCCCTGTGATGGAATAAAAGGGAACACCCAGAATCAGCGTTAGTAACAGCCAATAGCTCTTGGATTGTGCCAAGAACAGTTTGAGGTACTTCATATGTGTTTACCTGCAAAACTGCCACATTAGCTACCATTATTAACTCTATTTTTAGGATGAGGACACTGAAGCTTCAAGGAATAAATATTTTACCTAAGCCCAGGCTATGAGCAGTATAAAATGCAGGATTTAATATGGGCATCTGTACAAAGCTACAGGTGCTATGTGAACCCCCGTAGCTTTGTACAGATGCCCATATTAAATCCTGCATTTTATACTGCTCATACAGCAGCACAAGAACTTGCAACCATTGCTTGACCTAAATGGTTGTTTCTACTAGATGCATGAGATAATCCTCTTGAAAAAGCCATCTTTTGCACCCAAGTATAAGTGTTCTACACAGTAAAAGCTAGAAAAGGTAGTTCTTACCTAGGAAAAGGAGCCTGAGATTTTGCCTGGCTAAAAACAAGTTTCTCTAGTGAAAGATAAGAAATTATACTGATGAACTGACCCGTTTAGCTTCTATTTTTCCTTTTCCCAGGCTCAGATGGTCACTGAAGTTTGCCTGTCCCCAACATCTGAGATGAGTAAAATACCCCAAAGTGGACAAGACACTTTGCCAGTCTTCCAGCCATAAATATTAGCAGATTACAGTTAACAATTTTCATTGGTCACAAGTAAATCCTTGAAAAAGTGATAAAGGGCAAAAGAGATGGAGTTCACTCCTATGAAAGGACCTCTGTCTCTGGTCAGTGGAGGGAAGGAAGATAACATTCCTTGAGGAGAACTGGGTGAGTTAGGTCACCTCAGAGATGTGTACTCCTGTACCCACAGCCTTGGATTTAGGTTGGGGATTGTGAGTCTCTTTAGGAACTTTCAACTATCCTGCATGACTGTGACCACTAATTAAGGCAGTTAGCTGCTCAGAAACCAAGGTTAGCCAGCCTTCCCTTTCTTGGGCGATGCTTGCTTCATCTCCTCTTCCAATTTGTGAGTTGTATTTGCAGAGCTGACCTGTGTTGCCATCCTAAAAAAAGTGCTTGGACAGGCTGGAAAAGGGGAGAGAAGGACGCGTGGGACCCACTGCAGGTGACTGCTGACATTTGCGGGGGCTCCTGACCATCCGGTAATAGAAATAAACCTTCACATTTTTAACTTTTCATCGCAGGATCGCGACTTTCCTCGAGTAGGATTCCGTGTACCCGAGTAGTTACAAGATGCAACCATCTACGAACACATTTGAGGAGGAATGAGTTCCGCACGCTGCTCAAATCTATGGATTCCTAACCTGGTGCCTGCTCCCTCCAAACGCTTACCAAGTTGTTTCGCTGGATAAATGCTGGGTAGATGCTTGCTGGGAATATTAAAAATAAAGATGTTCGGCCCCGCCGCCGCCGCGAATAAATAATGATACACTTGGAAAATACGTGTGGCTCTCGCCGCAGCCGTCCCCTGAGGTGAGAGCTGGAAAACGGGCTCAAGGCGCATCCCGCGCAGGACAGACCAGGCTCATGTCGCGCCTGCGGAACCAGGTCGGAGATGCCTCCGCCGCTCGCTCTGCGCGGTCGCACCCGGGGCTGCAGCTCTTGGCTGGGGCTGCCTACCCAGCTGTCCCTGAGGGCACTGCTGTCCGGGAGTTTTATTCGTTGTGACAAGCCGTGAGAGCTAGCTCTCCGGCGGCCGCCCCGCGCGGTGACTGCGCTGGCCAAGGTGGGGAGCGCGCAAACGGGGACTTGGGCACGCGCACCACAGTAACAACCGTTGGCTAAGGGAGACCGCTAACGGTCACGCGCCTGCCCACTCCCCCCCTCCCCGCGCTCCCTTACGCATGCGCGCCTGCTTTCTGCGCGCGACCGCATTTGCAGTCGGGACCGCGGAAGACAAGCCCAGGGGCAGGGTTGTCGCGTAGTGGTGACGTAACACTGCCGTCGCGCGCGAGTGACGCGACGGGGCCCGTTGTCTTTGCGTGGGGCTGAGGGGCCCCGGGGGCGGTGGGGGCTCCCAGCGGGGGCGGCGGTGAATCCGAGGGGCCTGGACATGGCGCTGAGGGGCCGCCCCGCGGGAAGATGAATAAAGGCTGGCTGGAGCTGGAGAGCGACCCGGGTGAGGAGAGGGCTGCGTGGGCCAGGGGTTGGGGGGGCCGGATGGGCCTGGGACGCGTCTGATTGACTACCATTCCCTCTTGTCGCCTCACCCAGGCCTCTTCACCCTCCTGGTAGAAGATTTCGGTAAGAGCCACCTGACTGTTGAAATGGGGCTGTGGGAGTTCGAGCCTGTGTCCTGGCGGCAGGGCCAGGGGCTGCCCTTCCCGACTGCTTTCGTTTCCCGATCGCAGGTGTTAAAGGTGTGCAGGTGGAGGAGATCTATGACCTCCAGAGCAAATGCCAGGGGTAAGTGGCTGAGTCTCCCCTTCACACCAGAAGAACAGGGATCGGCCAGGAAAAAAAACCCTTCAAGGGAGCCAGTATCTGAAAACCCATGTTATGATATGTCACATACTCTTCCTGAGTGCCATCCTAATCGGCTATTTTTTGTTTTCTCACAGTTTTTCCTCAGCGCTTCCCTTTCGGGAGTAGCCCTCCCCTCAACCATCCTTGGGTTCATTTTAGCTCCTTTTCTAGTTTTGCAGCAAGAAGCCCTAGGTCACACGGTGCCTTTTGTGCAACTGGTTAATTCATTAATTATGTGCCCATGCGTGTTGTGGCCTTAATTCCCACTCAAAAGTTGTCCTGTATTTTTTGATTGGTGTGACAAGACCCCTCTTGGTGCCCAAACTCAGGTTCTTGTTCTAGCAAACTGCAGAATACAACTGTGGAGTGACTGCTACAGTGCCTGAACTAAGTAATTGACTTCTCATTTTTTTGAAAAAGGGATGGGTATGGGTGTTCATTTGTTCCTGCAGCTTTATTGGAATTCAGGCCTTGGGGTCCACAAGTGAGAGTTAGTACTAAACTTCCTTATTGGGGTTTTTGTTCTTGTCTTATTTTGTGTTTCTGTCCTGAGCCTTTCCAGCTTTTTTTTTTTTTTTTTTTTTTAAAATCTCATTCAGAACCATAGACTTCATAGGGAGAGAGAGTGGATTCCTGGAGCACCACAGTTGGCCAGAACTGATGCTTGACTCAGCCTATGGCATCCCTATGGGGCATGCAGGCTTAGGGCCACAGTGGATACAGTATTGGAAAGAAGGGGGGGGGGATCATGATGACAGGAGCCTCTGAATGATGAGCAATAAGGGAAGAAAGAAAAGGATGCTGATTGCCTTTTGCTTTTTCTTCCCCAGCCCTGTATATGGATTCATCTTCCTGTTCAAATGGATAGAAGAACGCAGGTCTCGTCGCAAGGTCTCTACCTTAGTGGATGATACATCTGTGATTGATGATGATATTGTGAATAATATGTTCTTTGCCCACCAGGTGTGTTGAGCTCTGTGCTTGTTGGAGGGTGGTATGCTGCTTATTTATTTATTGCTTAGAAAGTGGAAGTAAGGGGACTGGGGATTTAGCTCAGCAGCATAAGCACCTGCCTTGCAAGCAGGCGGTTGTAAGTTCGATCCCCGGGACCAATAAAAAGAAAAAAAAAAAAAAAAAAAAAAAAAGAAAGTGGAAGTAAGGAAGGCAGGAGGAGGAGATAGGCACATACTAAAGGTGATGTATAGAAACTTCTTGGCAGAAGGAACCGAGCTCTTACTCACTAAAGGAAACATCTTGAGAGTAGTGTGGCATTTCAGTTCACGCTCCACATTCCCAGACACTTGCTGAGTGTTTAGTTGGTATATGTTAAATGAACAAATGTTGGGTAAGGATGATAAAAGCTAAGGAGGGTTCCTCTCCAAATACGAGTCCCTATCTCAGAACCCATTCCCAGTGAATATGGGCTTGGGGAGCCTTGGAGGAAGGATTCTGTGTATGGGTTACTAGTCTTGGTTTTACAGCTGATCCCCAATTCCTGTGCCACTCATGCCTTGTTGAGCGTACTCCTGAACTGCAGCAATGTGGACCTCGGACCTACACTGAGTCGCATGAAGGATTTCACCAAAGGCTTCAGCCCTGAGGTAGGCTGCAGGACCTTAATCTTGGCTCACAGCTGGCTGGACAGATCTGATCCTTAGGGGCACTGGTAATCCTGCCACATGATATTTGATACTATTTGGCTTCTTTTTTCAGATGATCATAAATATTATGTTTGACTTGTAATTAATTGTGTAAGGCAGTTGGTTTTAGCTCAGTTGTCAGGAGAGGAGAGAGACCTCAGGAAGGAAGAGACTTACATTGCAGTGTCAGAATCGTTGGGACTTTTTTTATTGGGCCTTGTTGCTCACTATTTTCCACTGATAACTACAAGGCCAGAACAGACCATCTCTCTGGGAGCACCAGACTTCTTTTCTCTACTCATAGAACCTCTTAGGAAAGTTGGTCTGTGCTGCTTCAAATTCCTGGAGTGCTTCCAGGCTTGCTTAGAACTTTGCCCGCTACTTCCCCCAGAGACCCACAATGTGATCTTCTTTCTCTTAGAGCAAAGGATATGCAATTGGCAATGCCCCAGAGTTGGCCAAGGCACACAATAGCCATGCCAGGTATGTAAGAGCATGGTGGCAAATGTGGGGTGGGGTAGGGATGTCTTTTTTGGCGGGGGGGATTGAATGCCTGACTTCACGCTTGCCAGACAGGCGCTTATGCTGCTGAACTAAATCTCCAGCCTGAAAATGTCATGTCTGTGGGCCCTGATTTTGTATTTCTCTAGGCCTGAGCCACGTCACCTCCCTGAGAAGCAAAATGGCCTTAGTGCAGTGCGGACCATGGAGGCGTTCCACTTTGTCAGTTACGTGCCTATCACAGGTCGGCTCTTTGAGCTGGATGGACTGAAGGTCTACCCTATTGACCATGGTAGGCACCTGAGTCAGGGGCCTGTTGGGTTTCTTGTTTACTTTCTGGGTTCTGGTAGCTTAAGGTCTTCAGGTATGTAGGACCCAGTGGCAGAACGTGGGGTTTATACTGAGAACATCTTAACTCTGACTAGCACTTTACATTGTGTGACCAGCTCATGACTAGCTCAACCACACTTCTCTATCCTTTTACCCTGGACCTGGTCAGACTTACAGTTTTCCACCTGCTGATTGGTCATCTTGGTTTCTCCTAGGGCCCTGGGGGGAGGATGAGGAATGGACAGACAAAGCCCGGCGGGTCATCATGGAGCGTATTGGCCTCGCTACCGCAGGGTAAGGACGTGAGCCTATCCTATCTTTGTAGAGGCATGCTTCCTTTGAAGGGGATACAGAAGGGCTCAGTGATTTGTAAATTGCAAGGCCAGGTGGCTAATCTGGCAAGAAGAGGCTTAGATATTGAGCTTCTATCTTCTTGCCTTGTTTCTGGGCTGGATGGACTGTGGCTGACCCCGAATGAGCTGAAGGGGAGAGGTAGGACTTGCTGAGTCCCTAGGTGGCCCACGTATGCTGGTTCACTTCTAAGAGACTCCTCACACAACTCATTGGAATGTACCAGCTCAGGTGCCTGGTGTACCTGGCCAGCTGCTGCCCACCTTTTGGGGTGGGGCCTACCCTTACAGCTGCAGGTGTAACTACATGGAGCCCTGTCAGGATATCTGCCTCAATCTGGTGGTGGGGCTGGGGTGGGAGCTGCGCTCACGGCTGCGGCTGTGACTGCAGGGAGCCCTACCACGACATCCGCTTCAACCTGATGGCAGTGGTGCCCGACCGCAGAATCAAGTATGAAGCCAGGCTGCATGTGCTGAAGGTGAACCGTCAGACAGTACTGGAGGCCCTGCAGCAGGTAGGTTTTCTTCCTGCTTGGCCCTTGGCCAGCCTTCCCTCCACTGTAGCATCTCTTTCTGATTCCCAAATCACAGGCTTTTCCTTTACTTCCCACAAAGTACTTCTTTGTGGGAAAGGTAGAACTTGGGGTGCAAAGGGAGAATAGCTTCTAAAGAAAGGTTGTGGTTTGGCTGCTTATTTCTCTGTGAATGGTGGATGAGTAGAGTCATGGCCATTGTGTTGTATCTTAGCTGTCTAATGTGGAGGCCTACCTCTACCTTCCCTCTCTCTGAGCCTTAGATTCTGTTTTCAGCTGATTAGAGTAACACAGCCGGAGCTGATTCAGACTCACAAGTCTCAAGAGTCACAGCTGTCTGAGGACTCGAAGCCAGCCAGCGGCAAGTCTCCCCTTGTGCTGGAGGCAGGCAGGGCCCCATCGGCCTCTGAGGGCACCCATGCAGGTACTTGGTTGGGGGAGTGGTAGGGGCCTCTCATGGGCTTTGGAGCCATCCCTCACAGCTTGTCTTGGGAGGTCCAAGCAAGAACTAGTGTTTTTGTATGTGCGTACTTGCAAGGTGGCACGGAGGTTCACAACTCCTATGGGAGGTCTGAAAGCCCATGCCTGTGCCTGTCTCGCTTAAGAACATAAGAGAATTTTCCTTCCCTAAAAGACACCTGTATAGGGTTGCCATCACCCCAGCCCCCTGAGTCCTCTGTAGGGTACCCTCCCTTTCTTGTTTTCTGTACCTTTTTTCCTGCCTCCTCCATGTTTTTTTTTGATCTATGTCTCATTCTTCTGTCCAGGATTTAGAACTTGCTTCTCCTTTTCTGCCAACTGGCTTAAGCATCCTTCTCCGGAGGGTGGGGGAACAGTGCTGTGTAACAGGATTGGGGAGACTGTGGGCTTTGCTTGAGGATCCAACTAAGAGTCCTCTACTTATATTCCTTGCTCTATCTCAGATGGTGCAGAGGAGGTGGCTGGTTCATGCCCACAGGCTCCGACCCATAGTCCTCCCAGCAAACCCAAGCTGGTGGTGAAGCCCCCAGGGAACAGCCTCAATGGTGTTCCCACCAACCCAACCCCCATTGTGCAGCGGCTACCGGCCTTTCTAGACAATCACAATTATGCGAAGTCTCCCATGCAGGTAAGTGGGAAGCACTCTTGTAGGATTTCCTCTGAGCTCTTTAGAGGCCACAGTAGCAGTTTCGTGGTGTGGTCCCTTGGCCATCTCGGTGGGGCCCAGAATTGCCAGGTTCCTCTGATACTCAAAGGCTCCACAACAGGAGGGGTTTAGAGAGGCAAAGAGAGCTTCTCTGATTTTAAATGTAATCACGTGGTTTTGGGGGTAAATGTTTAGGTATGTTCTCTTAGAAACCTTCCATAGGCTTCTGTGCAGTGTCAGTGGGTGGCAGCCTCTCCAGAGTCAAGGGAAACACCAGGAAGAGCTCAGTGGACTCAACCTGGAGAGTGTTGCCTTTCTTCCTGACTGCTATGCCCAGCCAGATGGGCAGCCTGTGTTCCTGACTGTCCTGATCTCTGGCTCAGGAGGAGGAAGACCTGGCAGCAGGTGTGGGCCGCAACCGTGTTCCAGTCCGTCCACCCCAGCAATACTCAGATGATGAGGATGACTATGAGGATGATGAGGAGGATGACGTGCAAAACACCAACTCTGCCATCAGGTCAGCCTCAGCTCTCTCTAGGAGGGTAGCAGACTCTGGGTGCCTTGGATCCTGCTCTGAGTATCCCAGCCCAGTGTCTGAGGATGCTGCAGAATGCAGGGCCCTGGGGGAGGCTGGCCGGAAAGGCTGACCCCAGGTCCTCAGGAAGTTTATGGTGGGCTTGAGGGAGAACTGAGCACATAAGGCATGTATCAAGGTATGTCCTGTTTCTTGTAGTTTTTCAGTTGGGCCTTGAAGGATTGATTGAGGAAAAAAGTGGCAGGAGGGATGGAGGAGAGGATACAGCATTGGCTGGGGTGAGGCCACTGGGATAGAGGTGTTCTTTGAGAACACCAGGCTGCAGTTGGTGGAGCTTAGGTTGTTATAACTGGTGTGATTGGGTGAAGCTGTTTGGAACAAGTGTGAGGTGCTGTGGGGTCAGCCCCTGGAAGGAAGCCATTCTGGATGCTGCTAGTTGTGGTAACCTGGCCTGTCCCCTCAGCTCACCTTTTTTTGGGCCCCACAGATACAAGCGGAAAGGACCAGGGAAGTCAGGGTCATTGAGCAGTTCTGCAGACGGGCAGCTATCAGTGCTGCAGCCCAATACCATCAACGTCTTGACTGAGAAGCTCAAAGAGTCCCAGAAAGACCTCTCGATTCCTCTGTCCATCAAGACTAGTAGTGGGGCTGGAAGTCCAGCTGTGGCAGTGCCCACACATTCGCAGCCCTCACCTACTCCCAGCAATGAGAGCACGGACACAGCTTCTGAGATTGGCAGTGCTTTCAACTCACCTCTGCGCTCGCCTATCCGCTCAGCCAATCCGACGCGTCCCTCTAGCCCTGTCACCTCCCACATCTCTAAGGTGCTTTTTGGAGAGGATGACAGCCTTCTGCGTGTTGACTGTATACGTTACAACCGTGCTGTCCGTGACCTAGGTCCTGTCATCAGCACAGGTCTGCTACACCTTGCTGAGGATGGTGTGTTGAGTCCCCTGGCATTGACAGGTAGGTCTTGGGCTGGCTCATTGGCCACTTGGTGTACCCAGGAACCAGAAGGGAGGTGGAGCAAGTGACCTCAAAGTGTCCTACACTCATGTATCTTCTCATATCTGCTTCTCAGAGAGTGGAAAAGGTTCCTCACCCTCCATAAGACCAAACCAAGGCAACCAGGAGTTCAACAGTCCAGAGGAGAAGGAGGTGGTCGAAGCCACGGACTGCAGAGAGAAGACTGGGTTGGTCAGGCCTGGTGAGCCCCTGAGTGGAGAGAAGTACTCACCCAAGGTAAACCTCCTTAGTGGCTTTATCCTGGCCAGAGAGAAGGGCCTAGGCAGCTGCTGTGCAGATAGTGGGTTCTTGACTAGAATTTTGGTATGAGGTTTGGTAGTTACAACCAGGTGCCAGAAAACCTGAGTTGGGTGGTGGCAGAGGCCATAATAGGTCCTGTGGACGCTGGTTGCTCACCCTTGTCTCTTGCTGCCTCTTGATAGGAGAGCTTGGTGCTGGCCAGCCTCCTCAGATACAGTACTGGATTTTGACAGGAGCTGCTGGCGCTATTAAAGTGTGTGGAGGCTGAGATTGCAAACTATGAGGCTTGCCTCAAAGAGGAGGTGGAGAAGAGGAAGAAGTTCAAGGTGGGTGATCTCTTCCCCTTCAAAGAACCTGGTCCTCTGCCTCCTTTGAGGTCAGTTGCTTGGGGAGATGGGCTGTAGAACCCTCATACTTCTGTTTTCCACAGATTGATGACCAGAGAAGGACCCACAACTACGATGAATTCATCTGTACCTTCATCTCCATGCTGGCTCAAGAAGGTGAGGGGCTTATTCTGGTGTCTTAGCTGGAGGTGCATATCCATCAGGTCCCTTCCCTTAGACTCATCTGAGGCTTGAGCGGGCTCTGGGCCACAGGGATGGCCATGAGAGCCTCAGCTTTTGGCTGGAGACTGTTGCGATTGAGAGGGTGGCTGCTGGGCACCTGGCCACCTGCTGCAGGGTCTCTGCCTTCTGCAGGCATGCTGGCCAACCTGGTGGAGCAGAACATCTCAGTGCGGCGGCGCCAAGGGGTCAGCATTGGCCGGCTTCACAAGCAGCGGAAGCCTGACCGGCGGAAACGCTCTCGCCCCTACAAGGCCAAGCGCCAGTAAGGACTTCTGGCCCTGGCCACAGCCCGCTCTTGCCGTGATGCCCTCAGCAGGGGCCTTCCTTGCCCTGCTTTCTTTTTCCAGTATTACTGAATAGTTCTAGCTGGAGAGCTAAGGCCTTGGGAGCAGGATCCAGCCTTTGCTCCCTGCATCAAACCCTGGGGTCTGGCTGGGGGTGGGGAGACAGGTCAACCCCATCATGCTCAGGAAGCAGCAGCTGGAGTTGGGCCACAGCAGGGTGCTGTGGCTTCCTCCACAGCTGGCTGTGGAGCAGCAGGACCTGGCCCTTCTGCCAAGGAAGCAGAATATATATTTTACCTATCAGAGATGTCTATTTTTCTGGCCTCCAACCCGTCTTGCCATCATGTTAACATAGCCAGCTTCCTAACTCTGCTTTTTTGCTTGGTAGCTGTTATCCTGGTGGGCCCAGATTCCTGTATCATGCCAGGGTCATAACTGTAGGGTACCAGCTGGGGGTCTTGTTGAACATTGGACCCTGCTGCTCTAGTCATGAGGAAGTCACTCCATTCCTCTTGGGAGAGTGCCAAACTCGGACCTGACTGCTAGGCAAGCCTGGGGGTGGAGTTTTCCAGTGAGGGTAGGATGAATAGCCGGTTGGGGTCCTGTGGCCTGCGTGCAGAGAAGTGTTTGATGGCCTGTAAAACTGTCCCAGTTCTACCTGGACATGTTGAGACTACTGTCCATAGCAGGGCATTGGGTCTCTTGCCTTCAGTGTTGTGGCCCTGGCTATGGGCCTTCCCTGGGCTCCCAGTTTCTGTCCCTGGAGTTGGGACTCAGAAGAGCCTCTGTTCAGCCCCTCAGTATTATCATGTCTTCCTCCCCTTAGGGATAACAGAAATGGGGCTGCTTGCAGGAAGCTGGCACCACTCAGCTCTCCCTGCTAAGCCAGCTTCTTTGGCCTCTGCAAAGTACTCAGGGTGGGAGACAGCAGGATCAAGATAACCAGTTGGAGCCTTTGTTCCCAGAGGGTTGATGCCAAGGGGTAATGGGGTCAGCATTATCTCTGGAGCTCAAGCCCTACACACACAGCAGGCAAACAGGCCCCTTATCTATGTACATAAGGACTACAGGGGCTGAGCACCATCTGACTCCTTCAGCTCCTGTAAATACTGGATCACTGAATGAATAAAACTGCTAAGAAATGACCCTTCCTGTGGTTGCTGGCCTGAGGTCAGTAGACTGGGCTGTGGTGGGAGGGAGGGACCTCGTAGACTAAGGCTTTGTGAGCAGTGAGGTGAGAAGGATGCATTCCTGGGATGTCTAGCCTTCTGGGACACTGCACCTTGGGAGTTAGGACCTGAGTCGAAGAAGAGCTGTGGACAAGGTGCACCAAGGAAAATGAGCTGGGCTCTAGGTCAAGGAGGTTTCTCTAGTTGTGTTCTGCTGTGTTTTCCCTGGAGGGCACTGGGACCTGGGAGGGCACAAGTCTCCTTTTTCCTTATTGCGTTTGGACAGGGACCACAGGTCAAAGCCACCTCTGTGCCCTCTGCCACCTGCTGACCCCCATTCTTCACTGAGGCTGCTGCAGTCCTCATCTCACCGCATAGCAGTGGCTCCCACAGAAGGAGCCTCGTGCAAGCAGCCAAGGCACAGCTAGACTAACTGGAAAACTCAACTTTAATGGCTTTGAGTCTAGTAGTCCAGGGCACAGATGAGGGCCACACCACGCTTTATCCAGTGTCGCTGAGGCTGGTCGGTGGGGATCTCCACAGCAATGACATAGTTGGTGGAGTGGCCTGTGGTTGACAGTGTTCCTGGCAGGCAAGAGCAACAAGGGTTAGATTATTCCCTGTCACTGCTAGAGCCTGGGACAGCAGACAGGGTCAGGGACAAGGATGGGTTAGGGGCAAGGGGAATCCTGTGATAAATGGGTCTGGCCAAGGTTATGGCCTGCCTAGCTTACTACACTGGAAATCAAAGGTGAGGACAGGGAAGTTGAGGCCACTGTTTCAATCCTTGATGGGCCCAGCCCAGACTCATCCCTGTTTGTGCCTCCACTGTTCTCCTCAACACGTAGTGGCAGTCTGGGGCTCCTACATTGATGGTGGATGCTAACTTGCCCACTGGTAGCTGTGTGTTGTGCAAAATCTCTGTCAGCTGCTCCACTAGCTAAGCTGGCTAACTGGCTTGGGCTGAGCTGGCTCAGTCCTTGGGTCCCCACTATAGTGTAGGCTCCCTGCTTTGCCCTGTACCGGCACGGGTCAGTGTCTTGTAGATGGGACACAGGTAGGTGTCCTGGTTCTGAGCCTTGCGGTGGGGTACTGGCATGAGCCAGATAACAGCCATGTCTGTATATAGCTCCTTGGGCCGAGACTCCGCCAACTGGAAGTCCTCCATGTCCCAGCGGGCACCTTCTAGGAATAGTCCGTGGATGTAGCACCCCACTTGGGGCCTTTCCTTGAGTTCTGATGGTGACTGGGCCATCACCTGTGGCAGGCACACAGACATACCCATACACATACCAATACCCAAAATTTGGGTTAGGGTTTTACACTCCCTCCTGAGAGCTCCTGTCTACCTGCCTGCCCATCACTTACCTGCCATTTTAACATGCGAATTTTCCTGGGTCTCATGGCCTGTTCTCACTGGGTCTTCCCACCCTCCTGTTCAGGGATACCCCGAATACCAGGCAGCTGTGACCTCAATGCCCCTTTTGCCTAAGCTGTGCTCCAGCCTGTCACATGACCTGGTCCTGGCTGTGCCCACACCTTGAAATCGAAAGAGATAATGTCGATGGAGATGATGAACTTGCGGGCGAAGTTCTGTAGAGTGCCTGTCAGAAAAGCCTGTGGGAAGAAGAAGCCACTAATCCAGAACACAGCAGGGATGCCACCTTGGATCCAGGTCTGCAGGAAGTTCAGGCGCTGCAGCAGGTCCATGACCCATGAGGCCAGTGGCTTGAGTGATGGGTATGCCTTGGCATTCCAGAGCTCAGGCACAGTGTTGTTGTAAAGGCTGGCAGCCATCAGCTCCAGCTGCGAGGACATCACCACCAGCCCCTTGAGTGCCTTGAGCAAGTCTCGCAGTGTCTGTGTGATCACTTGCAGCAGCCGGTTGTACCTATGAGGCCAGTGGCAAGGAGGCAGACAGTGGGCTAGGGTTGTGTGGCAGTGTCCTTCCTAATTAGGGGCCATAGAGAAAGCAATGGTAGAACATAAACCCGAAGAGTATAGAGCTGTGTCAGATAGCTGGGTACAAATCCCAGTCTGGCCCTTAGAAGATACATGAGCTGGGAAGTAATTTAGCCCATCTTGTGCCTCAGTTCAATCATCTATAACATGGGAATGTATTGCACTTGGCATGGCACTCCTATTCTCTACAGTACTGTGGCTGCTGACTTGGGTTGGGGTGACAGGGGCAATTACCTAATGACCTCTTGTACCAGTACAGTGTTCATTGACTCTTCATATAGCACAGGGTACTTGGCCATCACAGACTGCAAGTTGATGGGCTCAGGTACCTGGAGCAGAATGTTCTGGGCCACATCCTCCACTATCTGCAGGAGTAAAGAGACATTAGGGGGAAAGGCTGGCTAACTCCTTCGGGGTTCCACAGGCAAAGGCTTTCCCACGGGAGCAAGCAGCATGGTGCAGTCTGTCCTTGCCCCCTTCGCCCTGCTGCCACTCACCTCCTCCCGACCTTGGCTGCCCACAGAGGAAGATTTGGGCTGCAGCTGGACAATGGCACCTAGCAGGGCAAAAGTCTCATTCTGGGCAAAGGTGATGTTGGCGTTGTCATGCAGGCCAAAGATCTCAGGCATATCATTGAGTGGGAGACTTTTGATGTAGGAGAGGTAGCCCTGGGAAGCAGGAGGTGTCAAAGTGAAGGCTCTGCCTTGCTCTACCCCAGCCTTCAGAGTCACCCTATCAGTGGGTACATATCACTTGTCATGTCTCCCACTTATCACCCCTGGCAGTTCTGGGATTGCATGGCCTCTGAGGCACAGGAAGATGTGCTTACATTCCTTCCATCCCCTTCATGTTTTCATTCAGCTCCCTCCTCCTCCAAGCAGCTACTCAGACCTACCATAGGTCCTCTTCATGGTGCCCACCCAATCCCGCCTTGGCTCTTAACTTCTCCCGACATGGTTCAGTGGAAGTATGTCTTCAGAGAGCTTCCCCGGCCTGCAGAGCCTGGGTCCAATACCATGTTGGAGGAGCTGTCCCAGTCTACCACAGAATAACTACACATGGAGTGGCTGAGGTAGGGTTCACCTCTCCCCACAGAGCCTGCTCTCCAGGGGGTACTATTCTACCTCTGTACCCATGAAATGAAAAGGAGCCCCTGAAGGGCAGGGGCTTTTCTTCCTGTCACCATCAAGGTGTTCATGGCACCCTGGAGCCCCGGCCTGGTAGGTCCCCTCCTGCTCAGTCCTTGGGTGTGGTCTCACATTGAGGTCATAGGTGGGCTGGATCTGGTGGTAGATGCCTGAGTCACTGTAGCTGTGGTCCGGGGAGAGCACAGCAGGCTTGTAGAAGTCCTCCAGAATGTTCATAACGCAGCGGCGGTCCCAGTCATCAGTGACACGGCCCCCATAGTTGATTTCCCCTGCTGTGTACTTGAGGACCTATGGGATGGTGAGTTAGAGCCCCAGATTCCACAGTCACTGGTCCCCAGTCTGTCCTTGGCCCACCTTGTAAGGGATGTCCT